GGGGAAGTGAGTCTGCTTTCCCTCTCCCCCTGCCCCCAGGTCTCCTCACTGGTTCTGGTCGAAGTCCCCAAAGGCGCTGAGGTAAGGAAAGTTCCCACGGATGATCTGGAACTCCTCCTGTGAGATGTGGCCGTCCCCATCAACATCGAAGTTCCGGAACACAGACTGGAGTACACAGAGGGACACATGGGGGAGGGGAGGATAAAAGGAGCATTGGCCCCACCCTGCCCACATTCCCAGTCCAAGTGATGAAGGGCGGGCGTCTCAGCCTCGTGCAGCTGTCTGTCTCCCCCACCACCTCCCTTCTCCGTACCCCCATCCCAACCCCACCTATCAGCTGCGCCCCGTGCCTTCTGGAGACTGAGTGTTGGCCCTTGAACCTGGCACTGGTGGTGGCTCCCAGGGCAGTGCCCTGGCAAAACTAGCCTTGATTGACCACTACGGACCTGTCCCCCCACCCCGCAGACTCCAGAGCTGGCTGCCACGGAGTCTCACCTCCACCATCTTCTCAATGTGCTCCACCATGAGTGCCTGATCCAGCTTGGGTTTGGCCGCTGAGGTCCACTCCTCCAGCACCGGGGGCCGGGGAGGTGGCGTGCAGCTGGTGGGGCTGGTTGGCTGTGGGAATGGTCGAGGCTGAGAGAGGGCCAGAGGTGAGGAAGCCCAGGGCCCAGTGGAGGAGAGAGGGCAAGCCCTGGGGACAAGGAAGCCTGCCCGACGAGCAGGATGGGTGAGGTAGCCTCTAATCTTGGAACTCCCAGGAGGGCAGAGGTGGGGGAGGAAGAGGATGGGCCGAGTGGGTAAGCAGCGATTCCGTCCCTCACCGAGGACTTGGAGCGCGGTTCCCGCTGCAGGGACAGCTGGTAGAGCTCATCCTCTGTCTGATACTGATCCAGAGACACCTGGGACATACAGGTCTGATCACGCCCACTGGCCTCCGCTGCTCTCAGGAGCCCACTGCCCAGAACTCAGACCCACAGGTCCACCTAGAGGTCGCAGCCCAGCCCCGAGCCTGGCCCAGAAGCTAGACTCAGGACGAAGGCCAGCTTAGAACACATCCCAGCAACCACACGCCAGCCTAGCACACAGACCAGAACCTGTATCTCGGCCCCAAACCTTGAACACAAGGCACTGTCAAGATCTCAGCCGAGACTCCAGGTCGCAACCCAGCTGAGAGCTCTGAGATTCCCGCCAACATAGAACCCCGCCCAGCCACCAGACTCCAGCTCAGATTAACCCCGCCCAGCCACCAGACTCCAGCTCAGATTCCAATCCCCATCTCAGTCCGGAACCTAGAAACAGGTAAGACTTCACACCAAGCCTTAAAACCTAAGCCCCAGCCCAACGATCAGAACCTAGTCCAGATCTGGACTAGAACCCAACTCCTACGCTAGGGCTCAAAACCAAGTCCAAGACCAAGCCCAGAAACTCAGAGCTCAGGGCCATGTTTAAAAGCCGCCCCTGGGGAACTCCCTGGTGGTCCGGGGTTAGGACTCGGCCCTCTCACTGCCGAGGGTGCGGGTTCCATCCCTGGTCAGGGAACTAAGATCCCACAAGCCACGAAGCACAGCCAAAAACTAAAAATTAAAAAAATAAAATAAAAGCCACCCCTACACCCAGAATCCAGAGTCTGACCCCAAACCTTGAACACAGCCCACTGCTAGGAACTCAACCCAGGGCCCAGGCCCAGCCTCAAGTCCACATGCTAGCCTCAGGGGCCCACAGCCCCATCTGGAGCCTAGAACCCTTCTCCAAGTTCACCCCAGCCTTGGGGCCCAGGCTGGGTGTCAGTTCTTCGATCATAACTGAGAACCCAAGGCCGAGCCTGCAGGACCAGGTGCAGCTGTCGACCCTGCTGCCTGGCCCCTCACCGTCAGCAGGCTCAGCAGGTCGGGGTTGGCTTGCACTGGGGGCTGAAGGCTGGTCACCATGGCCAGCTCCTCCAGGATGCTGAAGAGCTGCTTCATCTTGGCCCCATTAAGTCGGGTCCGGGTGGGGTCCAGCCAGTCAGGCAGCGCCAGCTGCAGGGCCACCAGGTCCTTGAGGTGCACACCCAAGATGGGGAAGCGGAAACCCACGCAGGCTGCCAGCCGGCGCCGGTAGTTGCCATAGTTGCCAGTGGCCGTCACTAGTTCTGTCAGACCTTCCCAGAGCTGGGGGACAAAGGGCAGAGGGTCACACACACACACACACACACACACACACACACACACACACACATCACGTACACATCACATATCTCAAGCTCAGCTCTCCTTCCCCTGCCCAGCCCTGGAAATGTGGGAGAGGATGTGGAGTCAGGGTCAGGGATGGGTGAAAGGTCAAAAGCCTCCCTCACTATCCCCCAACACTGGCTCCCTTAGCCCCTGGGAATCAGAATTCATAGGTCACGAGTTCAAAGGGACACCCACTACCAAATACCACACCTCTACACCAGGCCTGGGCACAGATTATCATCAACATTTAACAGAAGAGGGGACTTCCCTGGTGGTCCAGTGGTAAAGAACCCGCCTTCCAATGCAGGGGACACGGGTTTGATCCTTGGTCAGGGAGCTAAGATCCCACATGCCGCGAGGCATCTAGGCCCCCGTGCCGCAACTACTGAGCTCGCGTGCCTCAACAAGAGAGCCTGCGTGCCGCAAACTACAGAGCCCAGCACTCTGGAACCTGTGCGCCACAACTAGAGAGAAGCCCGCACGCCACAGTGAAGAGCCCACGTCGCAACAAAAGATCCCGCAAGCTTCAATGAAGACCCCACGTGCCGCAGCTAAGACCCGACACAGCCAAAAACACAAAGAAAATAAATAAATAAATAATTTTTTAAAAAACCATTTCACAGGAGAGGAAACTGAGGATCAGGGAGGCAGAGCAGCACAGGACGATGATTTCGAAGAATATTCTTAGTGGTATCATTCGTAACAGCCCAAACTGGAAAAACCCCAAATGTTCAATAGTAGAGGAGATACACAAATCGGGGTGGACTAAAACATTATACGGTAACGGAAGTGAATGAACAATTGCTCCACATAACAGAATGTAAGAATGAAAGAAGCAAGGAGTAAAATCACATATACAACACGATTCCATTCATAGGAGGTTCAAAAACAGGCAACAAGAAACGCACATGCTTTTGGGATGCATGCACAGGTGGTAAAGCTATCAAGAAAAACAAGGTCAGGAATTCCCTGGTGGTCCAGTGGTTAGGGTTCTGAGCTTTCACTGCAGGGAGCACGGGTTTGGGGACTAAGATCCCACATGCCGCGCAGTATGGCCAAAATAAATGAATAAATAAATAAAAATTTTTAAAAAGAAAGAAAGAAAAGCAAGGTCATCATCCTTAGGAATGTTATGACATTGTTTGCCTCTGATGAGGACGGAGTTATGCGCTAAGGTGCTGCGAGCTTCGGGGGCTGGCAGTGTTCTACTTCTTGACCTGAGTGGTAGTTACACAGGCGTTTTCTAATTTTTTTTAACTGTACCTATGTTCTATAGACTTTTCTATATGTATGTCACCAGTTATGTTTTTTAAAATAAAATAGGGACTTCCCTGGTGGTCCCGTGGTTAAGACTCGGTGCTTCCACTGCAGGGGGCACGGGTTTGATCCCTGGTCAGGGAACTAAGATCCCACATGTGTGCGGCACGACCAAATAAAATAAAATAAAATAAAATAAGCAGGGGAAGAGTAAAGCACGAGCTTTGAAGTTCGGCAGACCTGTGAGACTCCACTCTGCTGCTTTCACTGTGCAACTGGAAAAGGATTTAACCCCCAGACTCAGTTTCCTCATTTATCAAATGAAGAGGGAGTGCCCAGCCCCCAGCACTGCTGGGAGTTCTCAGCGAGGCCAGCCCTGGGAAGGCTGACCAGGCCATTCCCCTGACCCCCCGAGTCTCAAGCACCTTGATGGTCTCTGGGCTCACGTGGCTGTGGGTCTCCTTGAGGCGGGAGATGGAGCTGTGGCTCAGGCCCCCGACCACCGCCATCAGCGTGTTGAAATTCTGCAGCTCCAGGAGTTTCTGGGGAATAAATGGAGAGAGATGAGGCAGTGAGTCACTGAGTGGGCCCAGAATTTGGCTCAGCTTTTCTGGAGAAGACCTGGCAGTGGGTTAGGGGAAAGGAGGGACTCAGCCCTACTGGCAATTTGGGAGGTTGGGGGGAAGGGGAGGAGCAGGCACCTCTGCAACGTGGACGAAGTGTGTGATGACCAGGGCCCGCTGCGGGGCTGTGGGCTTGCTGAGAATCATGAGTTGCACCCACTGCGAGACACTGTTGAAGAGGGAGATGAATCGCTCCAGGACAGGGTTGTCCACGGTGCAGCCGTGAGTCACAAAACTGTGATAGTCCTGGAACTGCAGGCACAGTGGCCTCAGCACCCTGGGGCCCCTCCCCTCACCAATGGCCGCTCCTCATCCTCCAGTGGCCCTTTGGTGGTTACATTGAAACCCCAGACCCACCCTGTGACCCCACCTATCCCAGAGACCCTGCCCCTCCTGGCACCCCCTCCCCAGCCCACACCCGCTCCCTGACTGAAGGCCATTGGGCCGCACCAGGATCTTGCAAAAGGAGCAATATTCCAAGTAGGTGAGATGTGCTGCCAGCTCCATGGGGTCCAGGTGGTCAAACAACAGGGACATCTTGCGCTTTTTCTGTTCCACAGGGTTCCTCTGGGTCACCTGCCGATTCCACTTGTAGGTGGGGCTGGGGGAGTGGGGCGGGGCAGTGAGTCCTTTGCTAGAGATGCCCCACCCCTCATGGCCCTACACTCATGCCACTCACGCTGACCGCGAGACACTGTGCAGAGCACGAATGTCCCCAGTCCCAGCACCTCCTGCAATCTCCCCCTCATCACACACTCAACACAGATTTATGGAAGACCTACTCTGTGCCAGGCACTGTGCTAGGCGCTGGGGGTACAGAGATGAGCAAGACACGGTTCCTGCCCCCGAGGAGCTCACAGTCTACTGAGGGAGACAGACACAGAAACAAACAATCACGAAATAGCGTAGCACAAGTGTGGAGTGTCTGTGGACTCTTTCAGGGCAGAATTTGTCGTTCCTGCCTCTGTTCCTCCATGACACTTCGTGCAGACCTCTGCCCAAAGACCTCCACACTTGTGCCAAGTTTTGATAACACGGAGGAGGAGGCAAGGGGACATGAGCAAAGTGCCATGGTGGGAAAGGATGCAGGAGCTGCAGAATGGTGAGTGGACCCGTGCAGCTGCAGTATGAGGTGCCTGGTATGGGGTGGTGGGCTGTGGAAGATGAGGCAGGAATGCCAAGCTGGCCTGAGACTATGAAAGGCCTTAATCCCCAGCCGAGGCATTTTGAAGACGATAGGAAGCCATAGAAGGTTTTTAAGCAAGAGTGACATGACCCTCACCCATTCAATTCGACAAACATTTATTAAGTGCAGATGGTGTAGGATGCTGAGTGCCCTGCCCAGCCCTCCGAGCTCCCCCCACGCACACGCTCTCGATGTTGATGAGGCTGCTGTGCCGGCGGTTCCCTTCTTGGTCTAGCAGAGCCTTCAGCTCCTTGATCTGCTCAGCGAGCTCAGGATTCAAATCAAACTCTGCTGGGAATGCTGAGATCCAGTACCTGGTGGAGGTTCAGAGTCACCCAAGGCAGCCCTTCCCCCACCATCCCCTAGGACTGTAGTTCCCCAGAGAGGGGGAAAGAGCCTCGAACTGTGGTTCCCCTTGCCCAGCTCTTTCCTTCCCTACCCGCACTGGGCAGATCAGAAAACAGGGACCGGGCCAGGACCAGGAAGGGGCAAGCCTGCGGCAGCACAACCACCATGGACAGAGCCAGGTTCAAACCCACATGACCAGCTTCCAGAACGAGCTATTTCCACTCCTTCAGGCCAGTCTGAAGCCTGAGATAAGGGAGGAGAGGAGGGGACAGAGCCCCAAGAGGAAGACTCACCTGACCAGATGGCATGTTTTCACCTGAAGCGAACTGGAGTCGTCCTTCCGGGATTGTTGGTAGGTGAAGCAGAGTTAAGGAAAGCAAGCATGGAGACTTACTCGAGAACAGGAGGCGGGGGAGGGAACCCAAGTTCTTGGGGGAGGCTGAGGGCAGGGCCTGGTTCTAGGAGAAATTCTAGGGGTGGGGTCTGGGGCGGGCAGGGCCCAAGCTCTGGAAAGGGGCTGAAAGCAGAGGTGAGGTGTGAGCTTTGGGAGGGTGCCTGGATGGAATGGGGGCCAGATTCTGGGAGAGGCTGAGAGCAGGACCTGGGTTCTGGGAGAGAAGCAAGAGGCAGGACCTGCGCTGGGAGTAGGAACAGGTCCTAGGCTGTGGGGAGGACAGAGCAAGGCCTAGGCTGGGGAGAGACCCGGGGACGGGGCCTTAGGTCTAAGGGGAGGAAAGGGGTGGAGCTTAGGCCCTAGCTGCAGCCTGGGCCAATCCTGAATTCTGTGATGTGGGAGTGGCCCACGCTCTAGGAGCGAAGCCCATCCTCTGCCCCCGCTGGGCAGCGGGGCTCCCTTATGGATGAGGACTGCAGGGCCCTTGGCGAGGCCGGCGAAGGATATACGTACAGCAGTTTTGCCGCCAGCTGAGAGGAAGGGATGTACCAGGGGTGCATCATGAGGAACATGCGCACCAGCTGCGGGTCCCGCACCTTCCCGGAGTCATCTAACTCCGAGGGGTCAAGGAGAAGCGGGTTGACCCTACGTCCCGCAGCTTCGGTCCCTAAACCCTACCCCGCAGCCTGCCGGGTTTCTGGCTCCCGGCCGCCTCCGGCTTTCCCGGGGCTCCGAAACCAGGAGGCAGATTATAAAGTAAAGGTAGGGTGGAAGAGGGATAAGGCAGGATCCGAGGAACTAGAGGAGAGGAGCGTCTGAGTCGGGCCTGTAGTCTGGAGGGGAACCAGCTGGGGCGGAAGGAGACGGGTTCCGCGGGGTCAAGAATCCAGAGGTCATTTCCTGAGTGCCTGGGGAAGGGGCACCCCTTCACCAGATAAGCCACCCCCCATCAGCCGGAAACAGCTTCCAGGCCGCAACAGCGAGTTCCTCCGGATCCCCCGGGGAGACAGATAACGGTCCTCGTGGGTCAGAGTCTGGGGACCCCGTCGCTCCTCCCTTCAACGCTGGTATACTAGGGAAGGGAAACCTTTTCTCTTTCTGCACCGTGTGGATCTCTCTACCCCGGGATGAAGAGGAGACTTTCGCCAAAGAGGCTGCAGGATGCGAGTTGGGCAGAGGTCTGCCCTGGGAGGCAGGGGTCAGGGTTCAGGCTCCCGGCTGGTCTCAGGCTGGGCGTGTCCTCCCGTGCCACTCACCGAAGGCTTCAATGCAACCACGGAGCAGCTCCTCCACCGTGCAGCCCTTGTCCAGGTCCAGGGTGCCCGCCATGGCCTCCGGCGCGGGTAGGCTGGGCCAAGCTGCGCTCCGAGAGCCTCCACGGGGCTCGGACCTGACCCCTGTCCCGGGAGAGACAGAGCCGGAGTCAGCGGAGGCGCGGGCCAGGGGCGCGGCCCCGCGGAAAGAAACGGGGCGGGGCAGGCACGCCCCCTGCTGGGCAGGGGCGGAGTCGTCCGCCGCGGCCACTCCTGGGGTTAACTGGCCCGGGATGTTGCAACCCACCAGTTGGGAAACGAACTGACCAAGAAGCTTCCGGCCCACCCTTGGAGTCGTGGGAGGGCTGAGGGACTCCCCGGGGATAGGGACGAGCCAGAACTCGGGGGGCTGGTTAGTGTCCCAGCCCCCCTCCCCGCAGGACCTCTTCTCCTCACGTCCTCTCCCCAGAGGCACCTGCAGCACCCCGCAGCTCAGTTCTGCGCCCCTCCCGCTTCCCTCCCTTCACAGCCTCCCTTCCCCCGCAGGGTTATTTTGGGAACCCAGAGCCTGAGGGGACCTCGGAGGAATTTCTCCCTGGGATGAGAGGGGGGAGGAACCCAGGCGTCCTGCCCGCGTCGCCCCCTCCTGGGCTCCCCGGAAAGGAAGGCGGGGCTGTGGCAGCCCCCAGGGGCCTGCCATTGGGGAGGCGGGCTGGAGCGGAGAGGAACATTCCTGGGGCGGGGGGGGGGGGGGGGGAGAGGGCGGAGCGGGGAGCCCACTGCGGCCCGGAGGCGTCAGCGGGAAGCCTGAGCCTGGGAACCGCGCGCTCCCAAGCCACCTCCTCCGTGAAGGCCCCAAGGGTCCCGGCTCAGACCTTCCGCAGGCTATCTTCATCCCCAGACCCTGACGCAGGTCCCCATACTGCACAGTCGAACTGAGTGCACACACAGGCCGTCCACACTCGAGCACAGAGCAGGGTGCCCAGAAGGGGGCGCTAGCACCGTGCGGGGTGGAGAGTGCCTGTACGACTCCACCAGCAGCTCCAGTCACTGGCGGGAATATACGCACCCATGCAGAGACACTCATTCCACACCCGAGACCAGGGACCCACATCGGGGTGCAAGAATGCCTGAGGCTCCCAAGAAGCCGAGCCTCAGGCAATTACCTCCCATACTCTCTCTCTCACACACAATGGCACCCACAGACCTCGCACACCTGAACGAAGGAAACCTCGGACACACATACCCAGCTCTCTACCCCAGAATGCAAACCCGTTGGAGCGGCCGGCTTCCGGCCCTGCTGCTCACTAGAGCCAGGCCAGCCTGGAGTTCCGCGGCCACAGCAGCGCGACATCCGCACACGTGTGCACACGCGCAAGGCAGTGCACCTACACGCATGTACACTCTCCCACACATGCACACACCCAGTGGGTATGCACACACGCCCATTCCGCCCCCGCCCCCTTCATCTGCGATCTAGGGCCAGCCCTGCGGCCCCAGCGACCTGACATCCCGTACCCACGGACGCTGGCAAAGCCTTGCCCCACAGAAGGTACCCCGCCCCTACACATACTCCCCCGGGCTGCGGGGGGGGGGAGCGGGGGGCTCCTCTATGGAGTTCTCTGGTAGACTTTTCCTAGGAGCCACCCAGAGTCATCACCCCCCGGCTCTCCCGCTTCCTCGCTGTGTGACCTTGAGAGTCACTTGGTCTCTCGAAGCCTCAATTTTCTCATCTGTCAAATGGGGGCTTCGCCGGGGAAGGTCCCGCTGAGACGTGGCTAGGAAGAGCCGGGTGCGCCCCGTTTGCCGCCCCCTCCCGCGCTTGTCCAGGGAGCTTCGGGTCTCTCGGCAGGTCCCTCCTAAGCCCTGACCCGGGCCGCAGATTCCCCACCCACCAACCCACCCGCCGCCCCCAGCCCGTCTGCGCCGCCCTCAAGGGCCCCCTAGGGGCCGGGCCTCCTCTGCCCTGAGCACCCCCCCGCCCCGCGCTCATTCACTCACACTTGGGACCCGCGGCAAGAAGCCCGCACCCGGCCCGACTGGCGCCACCTCCGTGCTCTCCCGCCCGCCGACCTCGCTGCGGCTGCGGCTCCCGCCCGCTCTCCGCGCCGCGGCCCCGCTCCCCGCCGCCCCGCCCCCGCGCCGCGGCCGCCCCCTCCTCTCCCCTCCCCTCCCCTCCCCTCCCGCCCCTGCGCCGGGCTCCGCACCGGCGGCTGCGCCTCCCCCATCGGGGGCTCCCTCTCGCCCCGCACGCGGCGGTCCCTGCGGCAGCTTAACCCCTGCCCTGCCGCGCCGCCCGGGAGACGAGGGCCGCGGGCGGGGGGGGCTGCGCCACGGGCCGCGCCGAGGGTGGGTGAGGGGAGGTCAGGCCGCACGGGACATGGAAGGGGGGAACTAAACCACCGGTCCTCTCCCCCCATCACAGACACCCCCCTGCCCCCCGCCCAGCCTGGTGTGGGGCAGAGGAAGCCGGGAGGGGCAGGAAGCAGACTGCGGTGGGGAAGGGGCGCCCCGCCCAGCCCCCGGCCCGGGTTCCTGTTTTCGAGACAAACCGTTCCCACGGGGCTAACCCGGCCTGGGGCCGGGCGTCTTCCTGCGGGCAGCGGGGGGCACAGGTTGGGTAGAGATCTGGGGCGTGGGCGCGGCGGGTCCTTGTGATAGCCTGGGGGAGGGGCTAGGACAAGGTGGGAACACTTGGGGGAGAGGGGCTTGTGGGGAGGGAGGAATGAAAACGCGGCTACCTGGAGAAGGGGCCTCGAGGTCTGGGGATAGAGGGAGCTCCAGTTCACACAGGAGGGACTGGGGCCCCGGAAGCCTGGCTCCCCATGAGGCCAGATGAAAAGGGGCAGCTGCAAGCGACGGGTGGGTTCTCCGCAGCTAGAAAACTGGAGCCTGGAGGCCTGGCCAACGCCCCCCCCCACCCCCCGGCAGAGAGGAACTTGGGAGGGGAAGCCGCAGGCGGTTGGGGTCCCCACAAGCCGGGCCTAGGGGAGCCGGTAACCGTTTCCGGCTGTTCAGGCTCAAACACACTCACTGTGAAACCGTCGGGCCCCAAACAAATCTTCTAAGGCTTGCCCCGCCCTGCTACCCGGCTGCGGAGGCAGGACCACCCCCACACCTCAATCTCGGTAAAACGAGACCTACAAACAGGCCCCTTCTGGTCCTTAGTTTCCCCAAGTGAGGAGGGGCAACACCGGCCTAGCCTAGACGGTCTGTGTGTGTCCCCCGCCCTAACACTCTCCTTACTCTGGACCTAGCGCAGCCACCTGCTGAGAGACCCTTAAACGCCGCAGTGGGGCGGGGTTAGGGGCGGAGTCAAGAAGCCGCCAACCACCCAGAGGCTCCTCCCCCTTTTGAGTCTGGCCCCCAACCGCATGGATCTTCAGTAGTCCTGGAGGCCTCGGCCTAAGTCCCAGCTCCCGGCCCGGGTGGGCCCCACCCGGGCGGATGCCACGCCCCCGGCCAGCCTAGCAGGCCGCTGACCTAGTATGGACACAGCACTGGGAAGAGAGGCGTGGAGGATGACGCTTGGAAGTGGGCAGGAGAGTCCGGGCCCTGCCCCCACAGGCCGCCCCCCCCTTCTGAGGGGACACACCTGACAAGGGTGGGGGTAAGGCGCGGTGACTGTGCAGCTGCTATGCCGCCCGGAGCTAAAAATATTTCCCAACAGACAGAGGAGTAAGGAGGCTCCCAAGGAGAACCAGTTTATTGGGGAGTGGGTAAAGTTGGTCAGAGCCATAAATAGGAGCGGGCGGGGAGCCCGAGGACAGGACGGGAGCAGTGTCCTTAGTCACGCTGAACACTGGGATCTCAAGGCTGATGGGAAATGGGGTTCCAGGAAGAGGTTTAGAGATCTAACCCCAGTACCCTACCCTCTGGACGAGGAGCTGGAGCTGGCCCAAGGGACTGCCAACAGACTCAGGGGCAGGTTTGGGTCTGGTCTAGAGGCTCAGATCTTCTCATCAGGTGCTGGCAGGCGCTGGCGGCTAGGCTCCACGCCCCAGATCTCCTTGGCGTACTGGGCAATGGTGCGGTCGCTAGAGAACTTGCCAGAGGTGGCTATGTTCCGGATCACCATCCGCGTCCACTCTCTCGGGTTCTACAAGCCAAAAGGGAGCTAGCTCTGCCAGTGGGGTCCCCACCTACCACCTCATCCCAACCAGGGCCACCAAAGCCCTGCCAGCCCCTGGCCCAGGACCCCTCACCTTGTACAGGGCACTGACTCTCTCCTGGCATTTAATGTACTCTTCATAATCTGCAAAGACTTTAAACCTGGAGGGGAATGGAGAATCAGGAAGTTTCATGAGGTCAAGGGCCAAGCCCATCCTGTCCCATTGGATTTCTGGGGACCTGAACAGTGATGCTGCTTCCAAAGGAATCTAGTCCCAACTGCCCAGAAGCCCTGTCCAGCCTCCCCACCGCACCTGAGCCCTACTGAGCCCAGCAGCCCCACGTGCGCAGTTTCCTGGCCGGCCAGCTCACCGGTCATGGTGCATGAGCATGTTGACAATGTCCTTGAACAGGTCGGGCTGTTTGGGGGAGAAGAAGCCACTGTTCAGCTGGTCAATGATGTGCCGAAGCTCTGGAATTCGGTCACAGTATTCCTGGGCATTGTACCTGTTGGGGAAGAGCTGTAGTCAGTGCCCTGGAAATGGGTTCCTGGCTCCTCCTCCTCCAGCAAAAATCCAGGAAGTTCCAAGCCCCAGGGTCAAAACCCAGGCCCAGCCTGCTACTGCCCTCCCCGCAGCTGCCACACTCCCTCTGGAGGTCTTTCCAAGAGGCCCCCTCCCTTCTCAGCTCAGCTTTTCATCCCCCACTTTGTGGATGAGGAAACTGAGGTCCAGAGAGGAGAGAAAGGTAGTGTCAGAGCCAAAGGCCCCAAACCAAGCGCTCTTCTTCCCACACACCACCACTGTCTCCCAACAGGTTTCTTTCCTTCGTTAATGGCATTTCTCCCCCACCATCCACAGTCCATCCCTGGCCTCACTTTCAGGCCCCAGAAGGAGCGAACAGGTATATCGTGAGGAACATCCTTAAGTTCAAACCGTCCAGCCAAGCTCATCGCTGTGCCTGGCACCAACTTTCCTCCAGTGTCCCACTTCCTAAGGCAGCACAATCCATTCCTGAGCCACCTGGGTTCAAATCTCTCAAGACCAGTCTCATCTCTTTCCTCCCTTTCTCTCTTCCAACCAGAAACCAAGTCCGCCTCCTCAACAATGTCCCTAATCCCCATCCCCAGCAGTGGCCTGCTGCAGGGGACTCCCCCTGCCATCTGGTGTCAGCCCCACACTGGTCCCCCACCTAGACATTGTCCCCTCCAGTCAAGCCTCCTGCAGCCAAAAGTGTCCATCTGGAGCCTAGTTCTGAACGTGTTGGACTTTGCTCAAAACATTTCACATTTCCTTCCTGGTCAAAGGACCAAGTCTGCCACGCTTCCAATGCAGGGGACACGGGTTCAATCCCTAGTCAAGGAACTAAGATCCCACATGTCATACGGTGCAACCAAAACAACAACAACAAAGGACCAAGTCTAAACTTTCTAGTCAAGCCCCACAGGAGAAATTCCTAACAATATTCAGTGCCAGCTCTTGTAAGCTGTTGGTGGGAGTGTAAACTGGTACCAACTTTCGGGAAAACAATTTGACAATGTGTATCAGGAGGCTTAAGAACTCATACTTTTTACTCAGAAATACCCCCTTCTAATAATTATCTTAAGGAAATAATCAGAGATGTGGACATCAATGTAAAAGGTTAGTCATCACAGGGACGTTTATCCTAACAGACAGGGGAAATCAACCTTAATGTCCAACCATATGGAACTAGTTAAATAAGTTATGCCATGTACATAAGATAGAATGCTATACAAACATTTAAAATATCTTGAAGACTATTTAATGACATGGAAAATGCCTCACCAATGTTAAGATAACAGGATTCAAAACTGTACATGCATTATTTCCAACTTTTAAAAACTATATACACGAAGAAAAAGAGAACTGTGGCTTTAAATCTGGGTGATGAGATTATGGATGACAGTTGTTTTATTCTTTGTGGCTTTGTATATTTCTAACCAGTGAGCATGTACTGCTTTTATGAGAAGAAAAAATCATATTTTAAAATGTTAAAAATGTAATGCCAGGGGCTTCCCTGGTGGCGCAGTGGTTGAGAATCCGCCTGCCGATGCAGGGGACACGGGTTCGTGCCCTGGTCCGGGAAGATCCCACATGCCGTGGAGCGGCTGGGCCCGTGAGCCATGGCCACTGAGCCTGTGCGTCTGGAGCCTGTGCTCCGCAACAGGAGAGGCCACAAGAGTGAGAGGCCCGCATACCGCAAAAAAAAAAAAAAAAAAAAAATGTAATGCCAGGAAAATGTCTTCTCTGAAGATCTATGTTTCTGACCACAAGTACAGATATAACTACTGTACTCATATTTCCCTTTTTGCCATGGCTGCCAGGGAGCTAAGAATTTCACTTTACTTCCAATTCCAGAAATAATATTATCTCTGAGGGTTGGTATTATTTTCTCTTCCTTTCCCTTCAGTTCTCTGTTACTTCTTTCTTTTCCCATTTCATTAACTTTATTTGTTATAAGTCACCTCAAAAGTTTTCTAGACTCGTGATGGCCATAACTAAGACCTTGTGCAGCCTGGACCAGCCTTTCCAGTCATGCCTCTTGCTCCCGGCTCTACCTCCAGCAGTCGCACCTTGGTGCCTCCTGCCCACAGACTGTGAACTTTGCAGCCCATACCCTTTCTGGTCAAGCCTTTCCACGTCCTCCACCCGCATGCCGAAGATGAAGAAGTTCTCCTCTCCCGCCTCTTCTGCCATCTCCACATTGGCCCCATCCATGGTGCCAATGGTCAGAGCCCCATTGAGCATGAACTTCATGTTGCCAGTGCCTGAGGCCTCAGTGCCCGCAGTAGAGATCTGCTCGGAAAGGTCAGCAGCCGGGATCACTGTGCGGGGGGGCAGCAGGGGACAAGCTCAGCTCCAGGAAGAGCCCCAGACCAGCTAGAGGCTCTGGAGTTAGTCTGGCCCTAGGCCTAGCCAGATTCAGAGTCCCCTCCACCCCAACGCTCCACTCTTAACCAATTAAGTCTCTCTCTCACTGCCCCCCACCGCCCCGCCACCTCTTGTTGATATTTGAACATCTGGGACCTAACCTGGACTCCCCCCACCCCCCAGCTCCACTGTGTGATTTAAAGGGCACCACTGAGGCCCATCTCCCCTATAATTTCACCCCATACCACCATTAAAGGGACATCCTCATGATTTGAGTATTGTCCTCTCCAGATTCTTCCTTAAAGTGCAAGCACCCTAAGAAGAGGAGATTAATATCTCTTCCTGGAACTGAACTAATCAGAGCTTCCCTAGGGTCCCCACTGGCGGCATTCCACCTTTCTCGGCCAGTGAGACTCGGTAGTTCTCCAAGAAGATCAGGCGTAGGCGGTCTCCCACCACCGGGTCGTGGTTGACCACATCCCCAATGGCTGTAATGAGTTTGATGATCATCTTGGCCATGTGGTACCCAGGTGCAGCCTGTGGGAGCACAGTCTGGGGTCAGCTCCACAGCCTGACCTCCTACCCCCATCCTGCAACTCAGCCAGGCTGACCTCAATCTGGATATCAAAGAACCACAGCCATGGTCTGCAGCCTGGCTTCTCACCTTCCCTCCAATCATCACAGTCCGAGGCACAAAAAACTTATTGGGATCCTTCTTGATGCCTGTGGAGAAACAGAGGGATCCAGTGAGTGGGCCAGGTTTTCCTTCTAGGCAGTAACACCTGACAGCACTCATCCAGCCAGGGCTGGGCTGGGAGACAGTAGCCCTGACTTGGGCAATCACTTGCTTTGTGACCTCAGATCTGTCACTTTCCTCCCCTTCTGAGCCTCAGTTTGCCCATCTGTGAAATGGGGATAATTCCACGTCCCAAGAGTTATCCTGAGGTCAAAGGAGATGTTGATCAGGAAGTATATAGTATCCTGGGAGGTACACAGAGGGGGGAACCAGGAGCCAGAGGGAACCCTGCCACTCACGGTTGTACATTGTGATGACATGGAGGCAGTTGAGGAGCTGGCGTTTATATTCATGAATCCGCTTCACCTGGACGTCGAAGAGCGAGTTGGGGTTGATGTGGACTTTGTATTCCTTCTCTAGGTACGCAGAGAACTTTAACTTGTTTTCCTGAAGTCAGGGGAGTGGAGAGAGCTCACCAATAGGCCTCAGCCTCAGGAAATCCTACAGTCTCATTTCTTTCCCAGGAAGGTGAGGATAGAAGTCTCCCTTGCTACCTTTATCCACTCCTGCATCAGGGCAGACATTGCTAATCAATGTCAGCACTCTTCCAGTGAGGTCAGATGATGCCTTCCCACCATGGACTGACTCCAGGCAACTTCTACCAATGGCCTGAGTTTGCAGAAGAGATGAGCTCTATCGGCCATTCCTGACTCAGACATCCGGCCCCTCCAGCACCCTCCACTCAAGCCCTGGCACAGGAGTCTGTCCCAGATTGCAGCGCTCCTCACCTGCTTCACTTTGGCCACATCCCGGATAAAGGCTTCATCGTCCACATAGGAGAGCAGTTTGCGCAGCTGGTCCAGGTCTGCGATGTAGTCCTCCCCGATGCGCTGTGGGAAGATAGCTCTCAGTTAAGCCCATATCCCTCCTCCGTCCTCCCTCACAGAGGGGTCCCTTTCCAGGTCAACCAAGCCCCATCCACTGCAGACAGCTCCTTCCTCTGCAGCCTCCCAGCTGGGGGGTGGTACATGTATGTGCATCTTTCCTCCCCTCCTGACCTTGAGCTCTGATGGCTGACCCCCATCTGACCCCACAGGCCTTCCTCTTGGCCTTTTCCTCTGACAGGCATTGACCTCAGGGCCCCGCTCCCACTCTCTGCCCCTTTCTGGTCTCACTCCAGATGTGACCTGCTGATAACCCCTCCATTAGACTGTGAACTCCACCAGGTTGACCTTCATAGCCAGGGCTTCCATTCGCCCACAGGCACCCTCATGCAAGTAAGAAAATGGTTCCCCTTCTCCAGACAGATGCAAGGCTTGGGGAACGCAGTGCAGGATGGACTTCAGCCCTCAGATGGGTGCCCTACAGTGAACCACATACACAACCACACCCAGATGCTCCCTGCGGTGACCGTGTTGACCCCTACTGGCCATACGTGAACGCTCACCTCAGCAATGACTTCTGCCAGCCCAGGGTTACACATAACCAGCCAGCGCCGAGGAGTGATGCCGTTGGTCTTATTCTGGAACTTATGAGGCTCTAGCTCATAGAAGTCCTTGAAGCTATAGGATGGGGTCGGGGGATCACCAATCACCCCTGTGGGATGAAGGCCTCCTCCCTGGGGCCCCTACCCTGGTTTCTTGATGAAAGGGGCCTGGAGGGGAGGGGGAGGGTGCTGTGTGTAAGAGGGGTCATCTGGGGACAGGACTGGACTGGACGGCAAGGCTATGATTCTTGTAAGAGCAGTGCCACCCATGGAAGGGGCCAGCTGAAGGCAACTGTGAATGGCCGGTGCCGGGCAGTGAGGGGGTGAGCGGGGGTCCAGCGGGAGGGGCGGTGTCTGGGGAGCGGGTCTTACGTGGTCTTCTTGAGGATCTCGGAGTGGATGCGAGCCACGCCATTGATAGCATGTGAACCGGCGATGCACAGGTGCGCCATGTTGATGCGCTTCACCGCGCCCTCCTCCACCAGCGACATGCGCCTCAGCCGGTCTATATCCCCTGGGAACGCAGCCGCCACCCGCTGTGCCAGGAGAGCCCAGAGCTAGGACGGGGACCCAGGACCCAGGTTTCCAGCCCCTACCCTATCCCCAGGTCTCTGTCCACAGCCCTCCCTGCCAGAGTCTCAGGAGCCATGCTTTCCATGCCCTCCACGCCCCACCCTCCACCCCACGCTTCCTCCACTCACATTAAGGAAGCGCTGGTTGATCTCATAGATGATCTGGAGGTGCCGAGGCAGCAGGGTCTCCATGAGGTGCACGGGCCAGCGCTCCAGGGCCTCGGGCAGCACCGTGTGGTTGGTATAGGCACAGGTCTTCACAGTCACGTCCCATGCCTGACAGATGGGATGGCGAGGAAGGACCCCCGGGCTTAAGCCGGACGGCTCTCCACACACACTGTGCAGCCAAGAGCCCTGGCCCTGCCGCTGCCGCGCCAGGTTCTAGGACACCCGCCCTCTGGGCCTCACACTGCCGTCTGTGCAGTGGGGGCTCCACCCACATCTTTCCACTCCCCAGACTGGGAGGGGAACCCTGAGATGCAGAGGGTGAGGCAGGGGTGCAGGAGGGGCCCTGAAGCCCACCTTGTCCCAGTCCAGCCGCTCCTGGTCCACCAGAATCCTCATCAGCTCGGGGATGGCCAAGGAGGGGTGGGTATCATTGAGCTGGATGGCCACCTGGGGGCGGGGGGGCATTGGAGTCAGTCTGGGCTCCAAACCAAGGCTATGATTGCTGTCCTTTGCCCCTTCAGAGCACCCCCCCCCAGGGCCCCTCATGGTTCTAGGGTTGAGCTGGGGGTGGAGGCCCTCACGGGGGCAGGTATGGGGCAGGAGGAAGAGGGGAGCGAGGTTCTATTGAGGATCGCGAGCAGATCCCCCCACACCCCCCCCCAACACCCAGCCTCCACGTCCTCATCTGTAAAATGGGTGGTTCAGGCTGAGACTGGAGGGAGGAGGGATGGCACCCATCACAGGAGGTGTAGAGGCTGGCCTTCCCTGGGGCCTGGTACCTTATCCGGGAAGGCGTCGAAGCTTGTGCGCACAGGGTCTCGGCAGCCGAACTTGGCGGATTTGAAGCGGCGGATGATGTCCTGGAGCGTGGCAGCCACTACGAAGTACTCCTGCTTCAGCCGAAGCTCTTTCCCCTCAAAGAACTGGGGACAGTGCCAGGCAGGGTGGAGTCAAGGTGGTGGCCTAACACTGCTGTGGGTGTGGCCAGGGGAGACTCCCACCCACACCAAGATTCCTGAGCCCCGAGCTGCCCCACCTCAGGGACCCAGGGGTCTTTCTCCCACCAAGAAGCAGCAATGTGGATGGTAGCAGGAGGGAGGGCTAAGGACCAGGAGGAGTATTGTGGGTGTTACCAGGGAGCGGCTCATCCAAAGTGCCCCACCCTAACCTGCTGCCCCCAGGACTCAGGCATCCTCCCACTTAAAGAACTTGGGGGAAGAACAGGACACACAGGGGCCAGCAATATGCCTTGGGTGTGACTAGGGCATCGGCAAGTGTCACTCCCCTTCTCCTGCCCTCTCCCACGCACTCTGGCTTCCTGTCCCCAGCCCAGGGGGTAACGTACGTTGTCGTTGGGATACAGGACACGGGAGATATTCTCAGCCAGGTTGCGGTCCAGCACAGCCTGGATGTAGCCACCAACGTTGACTGAGGAACGAATGTGGGGACAGGGTCAGGCTTGGGTCGAGTGTGGGCCGGGGTGGGCAGGGGCTGCTGACTTTGGCTGAACTCACAGTCCTTGAGGTTAAAGTCATTGGGGGCCTTGGCAGACCACAGGCGCATGGTATTGACGATGTTGTTGCGGTAGCCGGGCACAGGTGTGTCGTAAGGCATGGCCAACACCACCTGCAAGGCACCCGGTATTGTGTCAGGAGGTGGGCATCTGCCATGCCCAAGAGGCCCTGAGAGCCGGAACTCCGTGCTCTGTCACTGCACTCCCCCAACTCCCCACGCCGGGTTCTAGTCCCAACTCTGGGTGACACAAGCAGCCCCGCCAACCTCTCTGGACCTCGTCCATAAGGAGAGGACTTCCCAGTGCCTCCCCACACCACCGTGCCCCTCCTTGCTGGGCTGTTGTGAAGATTCCAGGAGGTGGGGATGAGCTTGGAGCCCAGGGCGGGGCCCTGTTGGTGGCCACTCCGCCATGATGGCGATGAGCTGGCCGCTGGCCTGAGCACAGTCTAGAGGACACTCTGGACTCATGGAAGGGCTGGGGGGAACCATGGGGCCTGGCTGAGGGCGTCACGGAGGTCAAGGCCATCCAAAGGGCTTATGCCTGGTTGACCACAGGGCTAATTAGCAGTGACTAATGCTGGCCCCACCTCCCACAATTAGCAAACATCAATAATTGCTGCCCATAGCTGCCTGTTACCATGGGGCGGGGGCGCACCCACGCCTCCCTCCCCAACACTAAGTAGCCCCTGATTGGAGCAGAGTGAAAGCTGCAGCTCAGAGAGGGAAGGGACTGGCCCAAGAGCATAGAGCTAGGCGGGCAGCCACAGCCCTGCTGGACCTTGGCGTGGATGACAGCAGAACAAACTCTAGATTCTGAAAGCCTAGAGGTTGCTGTGCAGCCATCTGGAGGCCGGTGACCTGCAGCCACAGCAAGACTGGCCGAGCTGGAATTTGGACGCCTCGCTTAGCTTTAGGCTCCCTCTAACTTGCTCTGTGACCTTGAACAAGTCAATTGCCCTCTCCAGGCTTTTAAGTTTCTCCCCTGTCCCCATTTCTGGGCTGTTGCTTTGTTTCCCATCAAGCCCCCAGTTCAGATGTGCAGGGGAGCCAAGACTCCGTGATTATTCTTTGATGAGTCTTGTGGGGTGGTGGAAAGGAGCCAGGTCAGGGGAGAAGCACTGGTAGAGCACGGTGGCCTCTCTCCTCCTCCCAGGCTCTGCACTTGGTCTGGCTCCCCTGTGACCCTGTCTCTAGCCTCTCCTAGTTCTAGCTGTGTGACCTTGAATAAGTCACTTAACCTCTCTGAGCCTCAGTGGCATCCATTATAAAATAGCACTAGGTCCAGTAGCCTCCAGGCTCTTTCCTTGTTTCTCCCTGTTTCCTCTAGAACCTCCTCCCCTCTCCCTCACTAGATTTCCCCACCACCACACCCCACTCCCTGACTTCCCCCTCACCTGCGTGTCCACCCACTTGGCCCCCTGGTTGGTGTGCTCCACTCGGCCATAGAAGTGCACAGGCAGTGTGCACTCGGGTCGGGCCTTCTCCCAGGGGTTGCCGTAGCGAAGCCAGTCATCAGCCTCCTCCATCTGAGCCCAAGGCAGGTCAGGGGAGAAAGGAAGGCAGTGTCAGAGCCAGGCTCACACCACAGCAGGTGGTGAGTAGGCCAGGAGCAGTGGCCCTAATGTGCCCTATACAGGGAGGGTGTAAATGAAGGGCTTTGGGGTAGGTGGGCCCCTGGTCTGGTGGAATATCCACGGGGACACTGTGTATGTATGAGAGTCTGAGACATTCCACAGGTATGGACCTCCTATCCCCAGAGCTAACAACTGGCTTGGGGCCAGGGGGAAGGGGCAAGGATGTTTTCCACCAAGGCTGGGGCTGGTTCTGGATCTATGTGCAGATGAATGAACAAATAGGGGTCTTCTCCATCATCATAATAACAAGGTCAGGGCCCAAGGTCACTCACCTGCCAACCCCCAGAGATCTTCTGGTTAAAAATCCCAAACTCATAGCGGATCCCGTAGCCATAGGCAGCCAGGCCCAGTGTCGCCATGGAGTCCAGAAAGCAGGCTAGGGGTGTGCGTGGAGGTGGGTGTCAGAGACACGGCACAAAAGAACCCTTCTGCCCAATCCCCTGCCACCATGCTCACTTACCCGCCAGCCGGCCCAGGCCCCCGTTGCCCAGCCCTGCGTCCTCCTCGACTTCCTCCAGCTCCTCCATGTCCAGGCCCAGCTAGAGGCGGGAGGGTACGGCAGGCGTCAGGGCCAAGGGCCAGCAGGTCAATCTCCCAAGCCCCAAGGCTTGCCCCTCCCCCACACACCTGGTAGGTGGCCTCATCACAGGCATTCTCCAAGGCCAGGTTCACCATGGTGTTTTGTAGCGTCCGGCCCATGTAGAATTCCAGAGACAGGTAGTAGATCCTCTGCCCGGAGAGACAGGTGGGGAGGTGGAGGGGAGGGCATCAAGGCCACCCACTAACATTCAGCCAGGCGCAGCTGGGCCTGCACCTCTCATACTTCCTGCCCCACTCCTAGGCCCCAGCATGTTCCAGCCCTGCCTCCATTTCTCCCCCCTTCTCAGGCTTTGGGACCCAACAGGCAAGATTCTGGTCCCAGCATTTCTTCTGACTTTGGACAAATCACTTTTCTTCTCTGAGCCTCAGTTTCCTCATCTGGAAGATGGGGCTGGCCATATCTACCTCAGGGGTTAGGAGAGGTGCCTAGGAGAGGTAGGAACTCCTTTCATTGCATGCAATCCTGCCAACAGCCCATCAGGGAGTCAGAATATAGGGAAGCACCTCCAAGTGCTCCCCAAAAGGGAAAGCCAGGCCCAGAGAAAAAAGTCATTGGCTCAAGGTCACACATGACTCAGGGCTAGAGTCGGCCACCTCCCGTCCTTGCAGAGGGCCCCCTGGCTCTCAAGCCTCAGTCCCAAGAAGAGGACAGAGAGCTGCCAGGATCTAGGATGCTGATGGTGCCTGGTCTCCTGGTTCCCTGGGTCCCCTCCCTGGCCCTCCCCCACGCCTGCCCAGAAGTGTCAGGTTGCTGACATTTACCAGTGACCCCAACAGACATTTGATCTCACCACCCCAGCTGCGCCCCATGCGCTGCACCAGCACACACACCACGCACGCATTCAATGATATGTCCTTCCATTTAGGGTCCAACCCAGGCCACAGGGATCTTCATGTCCCCCAGAAGCCCCTCCATTCTCTGAGTGAGCCCTGGGCCTTTGCAACCAGCCTACCTGACCCGAGCCCCCTGACCTGCTCCCATCCCAGATTTCTCCCCCTGGGTTGCCCCAGCAACCCATTGCACCTGGCACCCCTGGATCCTCCAACCTCAGGAACCTGGAGTGACCCTTTATTTTGCTGCAGAGAGCCCTGACCCCAGGGAGGGGCTGCCACTTGGTCAAGATCTCCCAGCCCCCAGGCAGGGCACCCAGCCCATTCCCCTCCCGGGGTGCCCCAAGCAGCACCTTGGGGTCCTTCTCGTAGTAGTGCTGCTGCGTGCGGAGCCAGCGGCCCACGAGGTGGTCACGCACAGTGTAGGCCAGCGCAAAGTAGTAGTCTAGAGGGGTGGCCACATTGCGGTCTTTCACGAGGGTGAAGTGCAGGTGCCGGTTGAAATTCTTCTTCAGCTCGGTCACATTCTCCACGCCGGCCAGGCCACGCACGCTGATCTGCTTTCTCCTCTCCTGGTCTGTCAGGGGCCGGGACATGGCTGCGGGAGGGCGGGCTGGACTGACTGTGTGGACAGGCGGGCGGCCTGAGCAGTGCCTTCAGCCAGGGAGTGGAGATCCCCAGCCGGCTGGTGCTTTAAAGCCTGGCTCTGGGCAACATGCCCCGCCTCCTCCCTCGATGGGTCGGTCTTGGCTTGGCCGCTCGGGGAGCTATTTTGGGGTGAGGGGAGGAGAGGAGGGGCAGGGAGGGCCACGTGGCTCATTCGCAGCCCTGCGCTGACCCACTTCCTCCAGGCCTCACACACTGGGGTCTGCTGTCTTCTGTCCCCGTCCCTGCCTTTTGCAGGGTCAGAGACAAGATGCAGCAGGCAGAGCACTGGCTTGAGGCCTTAGGCTTGACTAGAGCCTCTGGGCTGTGACTTTGGCTGAGGTCGCCCTGATCTGGGCCCCTCTCCTGGGTTATAGATGAAGGATGCAGCCTGATTGCGGGCCCTCAATCAGGACTCCTTGGAGAGGCTGAGGGCGCTGTCAAGGAGAACAGGTGACAGGAGGCCCAGCCTCCATCAGAGCAGCTTGACTTTGGTTCTAGACCTTCACGCAAGAGGCTGCAAACCACAGGCGGGATGCCCTCTGGTCAAGCTTCCACGGTGGCCCTGCACCCGGGTGGGGAGGACACATGTGGCAAGAGGGGCCAGGATTCCCCACAGGCTGAAGGCCCAGGTGCTGAGGATCAGGGTACCCCGAACAGAAGAAGGGCAGCTAGCAGAGGACACTGGGTGGCTGGGAGAAGGGGGACCGGGACCCCGGGTTCCAGGGGTGGTATGGGGAGGTCGCCTGAGGCAGGGCCCCTCCCCGCCCCACCCCCCCACAAAGTCACGTCACTCTGAGCTCTCCCTGTTGCTGTCCCTCAAGGACCTCTGAAGTGACCTTTTGAGAGGGACGGTCAGATTACAGGCCAGCTTTGGCTGGAGGCCACCAGCCTGGAGCAGGGGTCCCTGGGAACTGCAGTCCTGTGGCCCACAGGGGTAGAACTGAAGCACCCCCTACACAGACACACACACACATTGGCCAGTGGCATTAGGTCTCCCCATGACGCAGCTGCCAGGTGACTGAGTGAAGGCCTTCTCCCATTCATTTCTCCCACCTGGGGCCTCACACCGGACAGGCCTGAAGAGTGGGTCAGAAACGTATGGACCCCAAGCAGGGGAAACTGCGGGGGTGTGGGGATGGTGGTGTGCTGAATTGGGCGATTGGGATTGACATGTATACACTGATGTGTATAAAGTTGATGACTAATAAGAACCTGCTGTATAAAAAAAAAAGTGGGCCAGGTTCCCAAATGTGACTTCACCCGTAAAATGGGAGCTCCTGCACCCCGGGAATGTTACACCATTCCTCCCCAGGGCCTGGCAGCTACAGATCCTTCCTTCTGCGGCTTTGGCTGCCCCCAGTTCACTGCTGGTGTCCTAGCCCCAGCACTGATTTGCTGTGGGAACTTAGGCTGGTTGCTTTACTTTTCTGAGCCTTGAATTCCTTCAAGAAATGTATACTCTCAGGTGAGAATATAATTCCCTGCTTCCTCCAGCCACTGCCTCCTAGTCTTGTGGAGGCTGACCTCAGATCCTGCTTTGTTCTTTGAGCAAAAGGAGCCCAGGGCCTGGAGCTATTTCAAAGGATGCCTGGGCTTCCTGGGGCCGGGCGGTGTGCCGGTGGAAGGGGAGAACTGGGTGCTCTGGTCTGAGGGCCAAGAAAGCAGGTCAGAGGCCGGGACAGCAGCAGGATGCTGTCGAGTCTGGTTCAAGGAAGGCCAAGCTGTTTCTGAGGACTCTCTGCGCCACAGCAGACCCAGCCCTGGAATTACCACCCTAGTATGGGGGCCAAACCCCAAGTCTTCCAAAGGCCAAGCTCTGCTCTACCCCTACTCCCAAACAGCGTCTGTTCTGGTCTTCCATAGTGCGTGCTCCAGAGCAGAGAAAAAAGACCATGAAGAGAACACCAAAACACAGATGCCATGAGAACACAGAAACCTTCCTCTTAAAACGTTTGCATTTTAAGTTTTTTACACCTTGTATTTCAAAAGAATGCCTGGTGGCTCTCAGGTCTCACAGTTCCCACCCTCAGCCTTTCCTCCCGGGCTGTGCCTCTGGGGAGGTTCACCCCACCCTCCACCAAGCACCTGGTCTCTGCGCTTGGCCAGCATCTTGGGCTGCCTGGCCCGTGGTTCCTTGTGGAGGGCCGGGTAGAGCTCAGAAGCTCCTTGGTACAGTTGTCGACAAGGTAGCGCCAGTTCCCCTGTTGTCACCTCATGCCCCAACTGTGGCTGCGTGCTCTGGCCACACAAACCTTTGCACTGACCCCTAATTTTCCTGCCACTATGGACCTGCTCCTAACAGAGCATTCCTAGCTTCTTATCCTGCTCCCCATGTCAACTCAATCCACGCCCCCTCCCTGCTCATCAACTTAGTGCTCACCCCGCCCCTGCACTCAAGGCACTTGCTGAACTGGGACACATCCTGTTTCTCTTGGGAAACAGATGTACTTTGAACTGGTTTCTCCAACTACCTTTCTTGTGGGCTCTTTCGGTCTTTGTTGCGTCATTGGCACCCACTCAAACTTTCCAGTCTTTTCCAAAGGTGACGCCACCTCAGGAGACCCTCTTTTATTTTGCTTCCCCCAGCCCAGCAGGATGGAAACTTGAAGGCTGAAACTGACCTGTTTCCCCAAGTCCTTCTCCCCTTTCACCCCCATTAGTGTTGCATGCATAGATTTTAAAGAACCCTGAGAGCACCTTCCCAACCTGAAATAACTCAAGTTGTTTACATCCGACTAGGTTTCTAATCAGAAATCCTGCCTCCTTCCCGGGACCAATCTTGGGTTCCTCCAGAGCCCTTGGCTGGGTCTCAGTAACACAGCCCTGACGGTGACCTTTCCCAATCGACATTCCTTTCACCACCCTAGCTTTGAGGGGGTGGGGAGACACTGCTGCTGCAGCAGAACAGAAACAGGGTCAAGTAGAGGGCTCTTCTCTACCCTAGGTGTCCAAGGCAGGTGGGAGAGCACTTCTCCCTCCCGTTCCACCACAAAGGCAGGTGCTTGCTGTGGTTCCGAGGGCCAAGCCTTCCTGCTGTCTCTCTTCCATTTCAGGGCCTTGAGCTGCTTGGAGAAAGGCCACTGATGCCTCCTTCAGCCACTTGTTACCCCCCCAAAACCTTAACGAAAGTTGACGGCAGGGAACAGAAAGGGAGTGAGCCCAGGAATGGAGCTGGCCCCAGGGGAGAGAAACGGAGATAGCTGGGCTGTGGTTAAGTCATTTATTGATTTTATTTCTAAAACCCACATAGCGCCACTTTGCCTCTTCCAGAGCTTCAAAGAGCTAATTAACTGCCCCATGAGCCCACCAGGGAAACCAAGCTTGTGGGGGGAAGCAATGAGATGAAGCCGAAGTCAAAGAGAGTTGCCAGGCCCCAGGCCCTGCCCCCATTCTGTCAGCTAAGAACAAAGAGAAAAGATCCCCCTGCTCCCTTTCAGTCAACTGAAGTTTAGGGCTTGCTTAGGAAGACCCAGGGAACAAGTCTGGGTTCTGAGGCTTCATTAACCCCTGCTGGGCCTACAGCAAACACAGGCACCCTGGATGGGGCCCAGACACGCAAGGCTCTGCTCCAGATAAAACAGCAGCGGCCAGCCCCAGCCTGAAGCTGGAAAGCAGCCCAGGCCAGCGTTGTGCCGTCCCCGCTGGCCAGGAGCCGTGGGCAACAGAAGCTTGCTGTCCCTCAGCCTCCTGGAAGGAAGGAAAGCTAGTGGGAAAGGGCAGGCCCCAGCGCAGCTCTCCCCAAGGGAACTGTAGCAAAGCAGCAGCAGCTGAACAAGACCCTCACTGCCCCATGTTATGTCCTGAGATGTACTTTTCTGGTGCCACCATGGGCCCTATCTACCACCCCAGACACCAAAGACCAAAACAGCCTGAGACCCTCTGTGAAGTGCTTACAAAGCACAAGGTGAGTCCCCTTCTCCTGCCCCACCTCTCCCCAAAGCCTACAGTGTGGCAGGCTGCGAGTCACCAGCAGAGAGAGAAAAAGCCACTTGACGGTTTTAACTTTAGCAGCTCTGAGCCTGACAGGCAGGATTAGTTGGCTTGACCGTTAGTGCCGATGCCTCCCTAGGCCCAGGACCTCACAGTCAGGTGGCAGCTTCCAAGTACAAATCACAACTGGAGCTCATCGCATGGGGAGGTCCAAGCCCCAGGGAAAGGCCTTCAAAAAGAGAGACCAGGGAGGGGGTCACCAGGTTCTCAGCCATTAACTACTAAGGCAGAGGAAGGAGGTGGGGCCGCCCACACACCAGCTTCCCTCAGCGAAACTACACAGGGAGGTAGATGGGGGCTTCCTTAATGAAGGTCCCAGAGGCTCTCCAGGAAGAAAAGGACAAGTACGGCCAGGAGCTGAACGCAGGTAAGGTAACTGGTGCTGGTGCTGATGGTGGCAGAGGGGATTTAAAAGAAAAGGAAATAAACAGACCCAGAAAACCACACTGCTCTTTTATTCAATGGAACATCCCCCTTTAACGCAGTGTTGAATCATACACCAAAAAAAAAAAAAAAAAAAAAAAAAAAAAAGCCCAGAGAAATTTCTGCAGATAAACCAGTGAAGAGAACGCGCATAATACATTATTATCAACATAATCACACCATTAAGAGGAAGGAGGAAAAAAAAGAAGCAGAATGGAAAACAAAGGGCTCAAACCCCTAGACACTGCAAAACACTGACATTTGGGACTAAAATAAATTTGAAAAGGAAACCTTCCAGGAAAGAGAGGAACAAATGGAATCTGAGGCAGCTCAGGTGCTCAGGGGCGTGGAAAGGGCGCTCCTGGCTGGCAGACAAGCCCACGGCAGCATAGGTGGCCCCGACTGCTGGCAGGGATGCCAGGACGGAAATGGACCCTGGACCTGGGGGTCAACCCACTAGTCTACAAAGGTGACAGAGACAAAACCCCACGCTTAAAATTAGGGGAAAAAAAAATCTCAGGGCGACTATGGCACCTTGAAAATCTTAGAACCAAAGGAACCCCCCACTAGCCTGACATTGGTGGCCAAAAGCCTTTGCCTAAGAACCATTTGTTCCTCTCTCCTTAGAAAGGGAAGAACGAGGAATGAAAAAGGGAAAGGAATCTAATTGCAGCAGAAGACCGGGGAGAGCATCTCCTTGGACGGAGTCTGAAGAAAGGAAAAGATAAGGAAATAACAAAGGAAAAAGAAAAAATTAATAAAAAATTTCACAATATGGAGCCAGCGTGTTCCGATTCCGTCCATAAAAATAACTCAGGCTGCTTTGCCGAACCATCCTGTCCACCAGGGGCGCTGCTGAGGCTGTCTGCCTGGAAGGGTCACCAATGGGCGCGGAAAGTCCTCACTCTCATGGCTCGGGCCATCGCTGCTGCGGGGAGGGATCCTGGCGGCCCGGTTTGGGGAGAGGCAAAGGGATTTGGGTGAGGAGAGAAAGAAGACAAAGAAGACACTCGATGCTACGGGGCGCCAGGAGAGCCCAAGCTGGCGCCCCTACTACCACCTGCCCGTTCCTAAGCGAGGCCTCAGTCGCTTGGCCCAGCCCGGTGCGTGCACACACACACATGCGTGCACACAATCACATGCGTGCGTCCCAATGTCTGGCTCCATATGGTGAGGTTCGGCGTGTGTTTAAACGAGACCAATTCTCTCTATATATAATATATATTTTCTTAAAAAACCGAGTCTAGTTCTGTGGTGGAGGCGGTGGGGGAGCTGGAGGCATCCCGAAGGGTGGCATGCCCGCCACCCCCATGCCCATCATGGTGACAAAGTTAGAAGGGTCCATGGGAGGCGGAGGAGGAGGGGGCGGGGCATACATCATGCCGGCGGAACCAGGCGGCGGAGGCGGCGGAGGGGGAGGGGCCCCGGGCGGCAGAGGCGGCTGGACCCCTGGGGGCAGGGGCACCATAGTGGGGTTGCCTTGCATCTGAGGGGCTCCTGGAGAAGCTGCGGCAGCCGCCTGCTGCTGTTGCCATGGCGGGATGGACCCTGTGCCAGCGCTCGTGGTGGTAGTCGTCGTATCTGGGGTGGTAAAGAAGCCCAAGGTCACACGCGCGGGGGCACACCGCGGCTCTCTGCGGCTGCTGCCTTGGGATGGGGGGGCGAGGGACGCCTGCTCCTGGCTTGGCATGCGGTACGGTGGTGGGGGGCGGGCGGGCAGGGCTGTCCTGGCGATGGGGGTGGAGGGGTGGGCAGGACTACCCTGGGGTCAGCCTCAAGGTCTCTAGGCTTAACAGAGTAAGCCCTTTGTCACCAATGCCCCTGGAAGGGCTGAGGGGAAGGTACCAGACACAAGAACCGGCTCTGACATCCCTCCGCCCATCCGCCGCCACCACCGAACGGCACATTCAACCTCAAGGCCACAGCTACTCTCCCCGCTGCCCCCGATCCCATCCCCGCAGTCTCTCAGGCCCCAATCACATCCCTCTGCAGAGCAGGCATGCACCACCCCAACCCGGGCCTAACGCGTAGGCTTGGGCCAGCCAGCAGCTCACCCAGCAGAGCCTGGACTTCTGGCACCCTACCTATGATGGCGGCTCCCCTCCAGGCCCCCCCAAACCTCTCCCCAGACACAACCACACCAAACGTCAGCTCTCCTCCCCGAGGCCCCCGGGGGCCACAAGGCCCTTCTGTTTACCCTGCAGCAGAGACCAGAGTCTCACCCCAAGGTGTCTGCCTGCCTGTCTGCCAGGGTCTCTCATTCCTCTCAGCCCCCTCCCCCGCAATCCCACCCCCCCCCCCAAGCCCAAAATATTCCACTCACTTTGCTGCCATGGCAAAGGGGTACTGGAAGCCATACTGCTGCTGGGCGGAGGGGGCGGTGGAGGCTGCTGCTGCTGCTGCTGCCATGGGGGAAGAGGACCAGAGGGAGGGGGTGGAGGCTGCCCACTGGGAGGCGGCGGCGGCGGCGGCATCATGCCCATAGGTGGTGGCGGCATCATACCTGCAGCCAGGTGGAGACAAGGGTGAGGCCTCAGTGGAAGAGAGGGATTTGCAACAGAGCCCCCACTCACTCCCAGGCCTGGGAGGCGACACCCCAAAGTGAGCAAACGGCCAGGTTCCATTACCTTTTCCTTGATGCAGGCGATAGACCCCAGAGCCCACAGGCGTACTTCCCAGGTACTGATCTTGATGGAAGGAAAGAGCAGGAACTTAGCAGGACATTGGAACTGGCCAGGGAGGATGCCGCCCCACCAGCAGCTTAGCCGCACAGCTTGCAATCACTACCCGCACAAGAGCAGTTCTGGGACTCCGCCTCTAAGCAGCAGGCTTGTGCCTACCCCACACAGAAGTCCCTCCCTGAACCAGGACGGAACCTTCTTCCTGGCCTGGAGCCCAAGCCTTGGCAAGAGCCTCAGTACCAATACCCGACGGCTCTGAGACCTGCTTCCAGTGTGCAGTGACGATACAAACCCTTGCTTATCCCAAAGCCCCAAGGTTTCTGGTCTGACACTTACTTACCCATTGGAGGAGGGCCATGGTGCCCAGGTGGGTGGGGGCCCTGGTTCATCGGTGGTGGCGGCGGCTGCATCCAAGGAGGAGGGGGTCCATTCGGGTTGTGCTGCATGGGATGTCCACCGTGCCCGCCCGTCAGGCTGGGTAACGGGTGTGGGAAGCTGTGCGGGCCACCTCCGGGCCCACCAGGGCCACCTCCGTGCATGCCATGGTAGGGCCGACTCTCTGACGGGCCAGAATTCATCCAGGGTGGGCGGCTCTGGGTAGTGGACATGAGAGACTACGTGAGAGCATTTCCCGCCAGCGTCCCTGCCTGCTCCCCCTGGTGGCAACACTGTTCTTTCGGCTATGCCACAGGACCAGGACACAAGGACAAGATCTTCCCCAAACTGAGAGGTCCCCAAACATTCCTGACGTCCCGAAAGAACAATGTTGCCGCCCATGTCCACCTGTTCTACCCAAAGCACCTGGCCACGTTCCCCCAGTCTCTTCAGAAGACAAGGGGGGCCAGGCTGTAAGAACCAGCCCTTGAAGCTCACCGGTGGAGGTGGATTGCTGGCGGGAGCAGCGGGCCGAGGTGCACTGGCCAGGGGTGTGGTGGCAGGCCCAGAGGTGGAGCCCACAGATGCGGGCACAGGTGCCTCCCCCAGTTCGGCCATGAGGGACAAGTATTCTTTATCCATCCGCGCTTTATCCTGAGCTGACTGGGGGTCACCAGGCCTGAAGGTGGGGTGGGGGACACAAAAACAGAAAAGGAAAAAACCCTCCTTAAGATAGAAACCTTTACTCTGAGAAATTTACACAGAGAAAGTTCTGAGGAATTCAGTCACCCTTTCTAACCCCTTCCTCAAAATAGTCTCATCAGCTTTTCAGTTCCATGCCCAGCTCTGCCACTGGGATTACATGTACCTCTGCCACAGCAGAGACCCTTAGGGCAAGCACAGAGGAGAGAGGAAGCACCAGACCAGAGCCAACCACGCCAGCCAGGAAAGCACAGGTTTTTCTACAATAGCAAGTTTCATCAATTTCTACATTCCAGGTCTGAGGGAAGGAACATCTATGCCAAGACCGGAGCAACTGCCAGAACTTCCTTAACAAAGCTTTTTATATTTGCCACCCAAAGTAGAAAAACATTGCTATCAAATGCTGGTTCGCAACTGGTCGGAACTGCACAGGATTGCTGTCTTCTTATACCCACCTTAAGCAACAAATGGCAGTTAACATTAAGCCACTGTGAAAACACCTATACCCAGAAGGAAAGTTTTCCAGTTTCCCTGGGCTCAAGATAAGCAATAAAATAGGGATGTTTTGCATCAGCTGTTTCTAATCATTCTGGGTTTTCGATCACACCATTACAGACCACATTCACAGAAAGAAAGCTTCTCTTGAGTCTGCAGGTTAACAGGAACTGTCTTGTATACCACGGGCTACCAGGAAACCCTCACCTTTGGAATTTGCAATCGGAAGCAATGTGGCCAGCCCCTCCACACTTGGTACACACTGTGGTATTGGTAATGCTGCGGGTCTCCGAGCTCTGCCAGGGTCTTAAGATCCTGTTGACAGAAAAAAGTCACCTGAAGGGCTATGGCCAATCACCCTTCTTCCATAGGTTCTTCAGGTCTCTGTGCACTCCCCTCTAAACTAATCACATACACACCTGTTATCATCTTCCCGAAGGGTCCCATTCAAACGAGCCAACTCTCGAAGCTGCATCTTCCGTAGATCGTTCTGGTCCTCAGGAGTCTCGATACCCTGCTTCAGAATGTTTCTTATCTGGTGGAGATGCAACGGGCACAGTTATGTAAGTCCTGGGACACCACCTAGAATTCTGGCTAGAGGCTTCCTTTCTGGCTCCCTCACCTGTTCTACTGCTTTCTTCACATTCTCCATGGTATTGGCAGTAACCAGGGCATGAAGCGGCTCATCTTCTCCTGGCAGCATCTGGCCATCTTTGCGCCCGACTTTCCCTTCTTTCACAGAGCCTTTCCCCCGAATCATTATCTTGGCATTACACTCCTTCTCTATGTTCTTCAAGGTGTTCCCTCTGTCAAAGGCAGAAAAGACCATTGTCATACCTGACACACAAATTCACACGCCAGAGTGGCTCGCTGGGCACTGGAAGGAAACCATGAGTGCAGAGAATGGGATTTTCCCACCAAGAGCTCCATGATCTCTAAGTTAAGGTCACAGACACAGCAATCCTCAAGATCTGACTTCCCTGCGGTGAAATGGGGAAGTTAAAAGAGATTTTCTCACAAAAAGGCATGCACTCAGCCAAAGTGAACATCCTACCAAAAACAGGAAGATAAGCCACCAGTGGCACCCAAACAGGCACAAGACAGACACATCTCCCAGGTCCTTAGGAATTCTATATTCCACAGGATAGTAGTTACTCACCTGGGCCCAATCAGCAGCCCCACAAAGTTGATTTCTGGATACTCATCTTGTGGAATCATTACTTTATCGCTCACACGTGTTGCTGGAGGTCTAAGAAAGAAAAGACTCATAGACTCTGCACACTTCCAAGATGACACAAATCGACAGCTCTTCTAGAACTAACCCGACACCACTTGTTAATTACAGGTGACTGGGGGTAAGGAATAAGAGATTAGTACCAAAACTGCTCTACCAGACCACACCTAATCCGCAGGTGTCCTTGTCCCAGATCACCTGGCCCCCACTTACTTGTAATCTGCAGGTGGCTTGAAATCAGGGTTGAGGGCAACCATTTCCGTGATGAGGTTATGCCGCTCCTCTTCAAGCTTTTTGCGGGTGCGGAACTCGCGAGTGTTAAGCCGCTTCCCCTCGCTATTGTAGATGGGCTCAGGGGAAGGGGACCTGTGGGAAACAGACCACCATCACTGTTCTGCCTTCACTTTTCTCTCATTCCCACACGGGCTAAAATAAGTCTTCCCCAGCCCCTCTGCCTCTCAGACCCTAACTCAACACTCTTCGGAGGAACCGACCATAACGTGTGCTATTCACGATCGTGTGGAATGAGGAGGTGGAAGCTGGCTTAGCATTAGGGGGACTGGGGTGTGTGTGAGAAAGAAAAAAGTAGTTTTGCTTCTAAAAGTAAGAGGGAAAAAAAGTCTGTTCTTCTGGGGGAAAATCTCTAGATTGTAAATGGCAAGGACAGTATCATCCTCTGGAGTCTTCTTGCCAGATATGAATTTGCTTTCATTTGAAAAAAAAATAACATTACAACTTTATGAACCACGGAAACCCCAAGTTTAGGTAAAACGTTAACTCTTGCAGAGCTCATGTCCTATCAGGAAGAGAGTCTACACCCCTACCACATAGTAAGTCTGAGCTCTTTAACCCAATGCAACTGGGACTCAAGGCTATTGCAGCTACTTGGCCCCCACAATGGAGAGAGATGGTTCAAGGCTTCGTCTCTGCTTTTCCTTCAATGGCCTGGCTGGCTGTGTCCAAGGCCCAGGAGGTCAACCTGTTTTCTGGCTGTTCAAGGTTGGGGAGTCTGGGTAGAGAAAACGGTTAAATTGCTAAAGCAGCTTCTGTGAGAGGCTGCAAATGCAGATTTGGTCAAGTACTTGTCTAGGGTCTGAACCTGCAAACAGCAAGGGGAAAACCTATGATTCTCCACCAGAGTTTACAAGTCCAGAAAGCAGATTTTCTCTCTCTCTTTTTTTAAGGAGTAAAATGCTGTTGCTACAAGTAAAAAATAGTAATGATAAAATGGTCAGTTTACCACAGCTGGATTTTGCGGTAATTAAAAAAAAAAAAAGAAAAGTTACACTCCTAGAATTCTGAGTTAAGATTACAAAAAGGACCATAGCTTGATATTCTGAATGAAAATTTAGTAGCAGCTGCAAGAAGGGAAGAGACCATGTGGATCAGGTTATTTTAAAAACATCCTGAAAGTAGTCAAAGACTCCTATACCCTTGATTTAGTTGAGAGAACCTTGCCTAGTTGGAGAGCAAGGACTGAACTCGGCTGCTCCCACTGTCTTCAGCCTAAAGGGAACCATGTCATACCACGTTACACACACGATGGAATAAAAGGTCAGGTTTGTTCATGGCTAATGACGGCTAATGACACCTCCGTTTCTAGCATTTGTATAAACTGTTAGCACAATCCAATAATAGTGAACAAAAACAAACATACCCCAGCTTGTTAGACTATCATCTTACACATTTAAGTCTATAAGAGATTTTAAAGCATTTTTAACTGTGCAACTTGAGCAAAATCAAAATGGCATAAAGTGGCTTCATACTGAGAATACACCTTCTTAAGAAATAATCTTAGTAAGAAACTCATATCATTTCCCTCCAACCTGGGTTCTTTCAAAGCAAAACCATAAGGCATTAATTAAGGCCTCTTTCAAACTGAATACAAGGGAGAAAAAAAAACTCTGCTCTGTTTTTATTTCTAACATGTTTGACGTTTCTAATTCCCACCTCATTCATAGCTGTCTAGATTAAGCATTTCTGGCTAATCACCAGTTTTACCAGCACCAAATTGGTCATTTAAAAGCCCCGCAGCAGTGAACCTCTTTCCAAATTGTGGAAGTGAAAGGCAAAAGCCAATATTCTAGAGGTCAGATTGGCCCAACTTCTTCGCTTTGAATAGGCATTGTATTATAGAACATCTAGTTTCTAATCCAAATTCTCCAGGAAGCAAAGGTTTGTTAAAAATTCAACTTTTTGAGGAATTGCCTGGTAACCTGTAGACATGTTATTAAAGGGAAAAAGGCCAAAAAGGCACTAACAGTTGTGGTCTACAACCTATAATTCAAATCTTAAAAAAAAAAAGTCAAAATATAAAACATAATACAACCCTCCAACCAAAATCTACTGGTGAAAAAATAATAAATTTAATTAAATAAAATTAAAAGCGTCAATATGGAGAAATAAGTTAATTTGTTTCCTGACAAAGGGCAGCAGAAAGATGCTTAAGTGAGTGGCTTCTAAAACCATTACATCATCTTCCTGATTTAACAAGTTATTAAAATGGGTAACAAAACCCAAAACACTACTTTTTTAAAGCAAAGTGTTTTGAACTATGCTGCATGCACTAAGAGAAACTTCACTGAGAGGGAGGCATACTGCCCTTCTATTAAATGGACCAGATTTTAGCTGCTCAAATATTAACCTGCCAATAAAATTCCTGTTTAAAAAGTTCATTTCCCTCAGACTTTTTACTTTTCAGAGGTGAGAGAAATCATAAACTGAAATGACAAGACCACAGCTGTTTGAAGACCACACTCCCTTAAAAAAAAAAAAGTAATTTAGGGTTGGTTGCTTGCCTTCCCAAAACAGGTGAGAATATTCTGGCCCCTCCCAACACCCCCAGGCAATGGCCAAGGCTGAAAATTAACTGGCAGTGAAGGAAGTTGGTTAGAATCTTGTCTACTTTAAAACCATGTCAAAACCATGAGCAAGAGACTGCAGCAATGAGCTAACCAGAATGAATTTCTGGCCTTCTCAGATTCAGTGATGTTCAAAAATATTCTTATTCCCTACATTGTGTAGTACCTGTGAGGAAAACTTTACACGTGGGCTGTCAGCCAAAGCAGGTACTGAAACAGCTGGTTAACGGGCCACCTCACTGTCCCTACCGGTGGGTAAATCAGGTTAAAAATCTACAGGCTTACCAAATGAAAACCGGTTGTCCGTTTTCCTGTAACTTTCGATTCTGCTAGTAATTAAATTTCATTCCAATTTTCTAACTGATGACTGACCACATATACTGCTAATTTACACTCTAGTTCCCAGAATGGTCACAGTACCAGTCTTCTTACTAGGATTTTATTGAACTGACACAACATGTTGCCACCAGTAAAACGTATTGAGAAAAAGGTAAAAGCGTTACTGTCAGCTGGTTAAAACTGTTTCCCAACCTGTCCTCAGGGTTAGGGGGGATGCCCAGGTCTCCTGTGCGCAGTTTACGAGTCAGGTCTTCTATCTGCAGTTGCACTGGAAGAAACCAGGTTAGGAAAGAAAAAAAAAGGATGGAAAAAAGACAATGTTACCAAAAAACATCTCAAATCTCAACAACAAGCATGAAGAACTCGGAGACTTTGAAAGGGACAACTGATCAGTGAACACATTGAGGCAAAAACCCCAACCACCTATTGGCAGGAGTCCATTTACATCTATAAGTATCTTTCACTTCAAAATGGTTATCACTTAAGGAAGCAAACAATTTGTTGGAAGAGGGGTTAGCAGTATAGACTGTTCGCTAAGGCTAACATCAAAGCAATTATTAGGAGGTGTCTCACCTCTCCGTCCCCACCAAGGCTTGCTATACAATTGGTACCCAGAACTAAACCACGTTATCACCAGTATCCTGTTCCCACCAAATTACATTCTTGAGTGCAAGACTCTTAGGAGTTTATTTTTCCTTCATTAAATATTAAACATAACCCAAAATGAGACTCAATTAACGTGGGACAAGGAAAAACACCAGTTAAGCAAAGATCATTTTCATTGATACCAGGCTTAAAATTCCTTAAATAAGACATTTAATAACCAATTCAACAATCTCATATAAGTTTGTACATAACTCTTTGTGTAAAACCAGATCCAAAGGATCTTCCAATACCTGTTGTTTCTTATTCAAATTTTATGACAATCCATATACCTTAATAAACCAGTAACCGTTAAGATGCAAGAAGTCTGTTTTTAGACTTGCTCCTTATGCAGGGAGTAAAAGTAGGGGTGCAGAGGATGAAAAGTGTGGGTCAAGGACAGTATGTGTGGCCCTCAGACCTTGACAAATGAGGCTGTATGTGAAAAAGAGAGATGAGGGTTTCACAAAAGTTCAGTGATTCCAGGGAAATATTACCCGGATGATTTCTCAAGATAATGGCACTGCATAGCCAAACCACTTTCTTCGGCATGCTGAAGACCACCTGTTTCTTACCTTTGTAGCATCTGAGTGCTGTAAACAGATACTTCTAAATAAGGGCAAGTTTTACTGGGTTGGGTTAAAGTTGAGTTTGCTCCAAGAATTAATGCATGTCTAACCCCAGACACCCTTCTAATTTTAAATACATCCTACAGGGATATATCACACAGCCACTCAAACTCTGAAGAAATGAAAATCCACATTAATATCAAGAAAAGATATTGGGGGCATTCTGTACAAGGCAGTATGTACCATGAAAGACAGAAATGCAATAAGACACACATGGGCCCCTAAGCTCTTTTATGCCAGAAATGTTCTGACTTGGCAGTCAAGTATTAGCTCAACAGCTCAAGGTGAAAGTCACCTTCATGGAGATAGGCAGTCATCTTAACGGGACTGTAGGGGTGTGGGATCTGATCTGAGGAAATTGTTGGCACTTAAATCAAAAGGCTGCTATCTTCCTTGGAGCAGAGACGTACAGTAACCTAGGCTCTCATTCTCTCTACTTTGATTATAGCTATAAACAGCCCTTAGGGCCCAGAGCATTAACTCCCTCCAAGGGAAGAGAGCGGGAGATGTAAAGAATGAGTTTGTTTTTCCCATTTTCTACATCTGCTTGTGTCCTTGGGATATCACTCCACTAGGAACATTTTCATAAGGTTATCAAGACCCAGACCAGTCAAATATGAGACATAAAGGGATGGGTGGGAGTAGGTTGAACAGTGGGGAGAGAATTATTAGTATTGTAAAAAAGAGACAGACAATTCCAACACCTCAAAATTCTCAGCAATCTAGAAACACAAGAGATTAAGATCCTCAAGAACAACGGCCTTGAAGTTTTTTTTATTCGTGAAGGCCACAACCTCACGGGTCTAGGAGGCGTCTGCCCTAATTTACTCCAAAGGGGATGTTTACTTGGTTAGTAAGAAATGTTTATCAAGTGAACTTTTTTGAGACACCTGCACAGGTACATAAATAAAGGTAAAACTTGCATTAATAACCTTGTATTTAAAAAAAAGGTAATTTTGAGGTTAATTTCATTTCTACTGTGGACATTCTTACTTCTCAAAATTTCTCAACAGTTAAGATATTTTATCCTAACCACCTCATTATTCCATATCCAAGCAGTATCCCTTTCCCTGCAGAGTTCTTTAGTAGTAAACCCAAGAGCCCTCATTTCAAGACAGCTCTCCACAAAAGACCAAACCAGAAAAGATGCTAAAGGAAAGGTTAAATTCAACAAAATGGTAAAAAAGGGGTGCACCGTAAACACACTTTCAGAACCACTTTTTGATTAAACTGAGCTTTTTTTTCCCTTTTAGGAAGTACCTACAAAAAAATAAAAGACCACATTTTAGGGAAGGGAGGAATATGAAATTATGGTGAAAGCCCATGCTGTGAAAAAGGTACTTGGTTTACAATACCTGCAGTGTTCTCCAGTGGGGCCGTGTCCAGAGAGGCATAAAACACTCACCTCATCAACTGGCAATGAACAGCAGCTGAAAAGGGTGGGGTGGGGTGCTGGACTGGGGACTATTCTCACTCCTAAGTGGGCCCCTCTACCCTCCTGGCACTCATGGAGAACACTGCTGTTACCAACAGACCAAAACAAGGAGCTACAAATGCAGGACTCACAGAGCAAAAACTGATAGATTATACCAAAGTCGCAAGTACACCTGACCATACCTCCTCTCACAAAAGAGAAAACTTTAAAGTCCCAAACTTTCAACAGATAAAATGTTGCTCAGAATAGTAACAATCCGAAAATGCATTTGGGTGCAGAACGTGTATTTACCTATATAAGCTCTTTCTTGTTCCCGAGTAAGTCCAGGGGGGATAACTGTAGGCATTCCTGGAATCACCGTCTTCTGTTCCATTGTGTCTTGGTTCCAGCGGCTCCTCTTCCGCTTCTTACTGGGAAAGTCTAAAAGAAATAAAGTTCATCAGATGCAAATATAAACTAGCAGAGAAAGTGCCAACAGAAGTTTAGGATGCTTATGATTATTACACACAACCTCAGCAGACTGTGAAACTGAGAGCTTGACCTAAAATGGAAATGGCAAAGAATGGAAGACAAACCTGAGAAGTCAAGAGACATGGCCACTAGAAGGGGACCTGGACCTGGGTCTGAAAAGTTAACATTTCACATTTATAATTTTTGCCCACAGAAATTCTGTGAAGTACGTAAACAAGGTAACAAATCTCAATGCATAAAGTTTCAAGTAGTAAAACAAAATATTGAGAAGATAATATACTACGTGGTTGTCCATAATACACCTTAACAGCCCCAGAGAAAGTAAGAGTAGACTAAACACTCAGACAAGCCTGTAAAGCAATATTGGGACCTGCTGGCTCCTCCCACCTCCCCATCAGCCACCTGTCTAAGGGGGCCAAAACACAACTAAACCTATAGTTACTAACTGAAAAAACTGGATTCTTCCACAAGATCACTTTTTTCTCAGAAATTTCTCAGAAATCAGCATTCAATTTTCCCGGCCAGTTGGACATTTAGTGTCTAAAAGATGCATCAAAAGTTCAACAAGGAACAAGCTATACAAAAACAGCCAAATCCTCCTTCTCCAGTACACAGGCAGAAACTCCCTAGCATTCAGTACACAAAAGTGTTCTTCTCAGGGGCCAGACCTAGGGGGAACGCCTCAAGAGGAGAAGGCATGTCACATTTCTTAGGTAGACAAAGGGAGATTAGAAAACGTACAGAATTTCCTCCCCCAAAAACAGCCACAAAAAAATCAGACCCAACCATCCTCTGAAGACTTTCAACCTCTTTGGTTCTCTGTAGTGAAAACCCTGCCTTACTGTAGCAGTCGAAGAGCTACTCTGGGTACTTTTCTCCCTTTAGGACTCTTCTACAACCAGGAAAAGGACGCTCCACGTCATCAACTGACCCTTTCACACCCTCCAGACTTGCACACCCAACACCCCATTCACTCACTCGACCCCCTCCACACCTCTCCCCTACACCAGGATGGAGAGCAACAGAGAGTCCCCCCCACCTAGGCTTTCAGGCTGGCCGCGAAGCCCGGCCGCCACACTGCGCCTGCGCGCAACAAACTTCCTCCCGCCAGGCCCCCACCCCTAACGCGCGTGCGCACTCGAGGCCCGAGAACTCGGCCGCGCGCCCCGTGGCGCCTCCGCCCGGGTCTCCCCGTGCGCGCGCGCCCCAGCCGCGTGCAGCCGCCGCCGTCGCCGCCGCCGCGCGCCCCTCAGCCGGCCGGGCCCATCCGCGCAGCGCCTGTCGCGCTCTCTCGGCCCGACTCACCTCCTCCGCCACCGGCCGGGCCCGGCTGCTGGTCCTGACGCGGCGGCTGGGGTGGCGGCTGCGGTGGCGACACGCGCTGGTAGAGCGGCGGCGGAGGGGGCGGCTGCGGCGACGGGTACGAGGAGCCCGGGGAGGGCGGCGGCGGCTGCTGGGGAGGCGGGGGGGGGCGGCGGCGGGGGCGGCGGGGGTGGCGGCGGCAGCGCCGCGAAGGGGAAGGCCGCGGTCAGGGCCCCCACCGAGCCCACGGGCGGGGGCGGCGGCGGCCCGGACACCAGCAGCCCCGTCCCAGGCCCGGGGGCAGGCGGTGGCCCCGGCTCGAAGCCCCCTTTGGGGCCAGGGAGGCCCAGCTTACCCAGCGGCGTGGCGTTCGCTCCGGTCGCCATGGCGCCCCCCAGGGACCGGCACCGGCGGCTCCTCTTCGGCGGCGGTTTCTCCTTCGCGAATCTTCTGGGGGGAGGGGACCTGACTGTGCTGCCGCGGAGCGCGCGGAGCCCGTCCTCTCACGCGGCGGGCGGCGGCGCGAGACGCACAAAGAGGGAGGAGAGAGGGCGCCGCGGGGGCGGGTCGGGGGCGACGGGGCCGGAGCCTGGATTGGGCCGGGCCGAGGCAAGGGGTCGAAATCGGCGGCCTCCGATTGGCGGAGCCTTAGCCCTTCTCGATGCGCGCTGGGATTGGCCGGACCGTTAGGCCAGGCGAGGAAATGGCGGCTGAGCCTGGAGAGCTGGGAGGTGTCGCAGCGCGCACTTCATTTGTTACTGCGCGAACTGAGCTCGGAGTCCAGAAGGGAGGGGATAGGGTGGGGCAAACTCTGTGACGTTTGGGGCCAAGAGCTCTCCCATTGGCTGGAGTTGATGGAGTCAATCAAACTCTGTTGCGTCGTAGTGTCATGGGATTGGCTGTCGCTGGTTCGATTCTTTAGTCTACTCCCTTCCCCCGGGGAGTAGTTTCGCTGGGTTTAAGCGCGAGGTCGCAGCGCAGAAGTCCGGGCGAAGGAGATTTAGGGTCGCGGGGAACGGAGCAGCAGTGCGCATGCGTAGTTGGCGCAAAACCCGCCCCCAGCACCTGGCTTCAGCTTCGGTCCTCGGGTCCGACGCGGAAGCTCTTGGTGACGTCAGTCCTCGATTCCGTTGGTAACCCGGAACCGAGGGACGGGGGAGGGGCTGGCGCGGGCGGGTAAACCAGATTCGTTGACAACTCAGGTAAAAGGGGACTTCCTGCTTTTGAAAAAAATTAAAGTGGAAAAAACAAAAGCTATGAAATAGTCTTGTTGACGGATTAAGAATGATATCTGAGCCGATGGAGGTACATATATCTTACGTGGAAAGCAATATGAAGTTGTCAATTCCAAAATTAGTTTACATATATAGTGCATTTTGATTAGAATCCCAACGAGGTTGGGGCTGATTAAATCATCTTTAAGTCATATAAAATAACTGAAAATAGTGGGGAAACTTGTAAACGAGATTGAGGCTTAGCTTGCCTTTCCAGATAATACACAGTATAAAAGACAGTAATGAAACAATGTGTTATTGTTGTAGGAAAAACAGATTAGTGCAACAGAATAGAGTCTGGAAATTGATTCCCTACAATACCTGCCAAAAAGGTGGTATTTCAATTCAGTAAGGAAAAGATTTAGCTAGTAAATGGTATAGAGTCCTAAATCTAAACAATAAAACAGACACGATAGGGCTTCCCTGGTGGCGCAGTGGTTGAGAGTCCGCCTGCCGATGCAGCGGACGTGGGTTCGTGCCCCGGTCCGGGAAGATCCCACATGCCGCGGAGCAGATAGGCCCGTGAGCTGTGGCAGCTGAGCCTGCGTGTCCGGAGCCTGTGCTCCGCAGCGGGAGAGGCCACAACAGTGAGAGGCCCGCGTACCGAAAAAAAAAAAAAAAAACAAAAAACAGGATACAACTTAGGATATTATCAGGGTCATCTAGGGGTAGAGACTTTATGAAGACAGGAAACTCAAAATATAAAGAAAAAATATACTTGATTACCAAAGAAACCTATGATAGAAGTCAACAGACAATAATACATTAGGAAAATATACTTGCCATACATATGATAAAGAGCTAATATCTATAATATGCAAAGAAGTCTTGAAAACTAATTAGAAAAAAGACAAAAACAAGAGAAAATGAGCAAACACTGAATAGGCAAGTCTCAGAAGAGCAAATCCAAACAGCCAAAAAAACATGAAAGGTACTAACAGCCCAAGCAGGGGAGTGCAAATTAAGGTGATAATAAGAAATCTTTAAATAACAATCAAATAGGAAAAAAAAAAAGGTGCTAACACCTACTATGAATTCTTTTTTGGAAAGCATTCTGTTACCTGTTAAAATTGTACCCCTTGCAGGAAAAATTTAAAAAATCTTTCAATGTAGCAGTCCAAGTCCTGGGAATCTGCCCCAAAGCAAGGCATGTGGTTATATAATGTAATGAGTTCAAAGTCTTCTACTGCATTTACTGCAGCCTTGTTTGTAATGGCAAAAACCTGGAAACGAAGTAAATTACCATCAATATGTGAATGGCTGAATAAACTAGATCACCCATAACTGGGATTAGTAGGCAGCCTTGGAAAGCAGTTAATCCACCAGGTTGGTGAACATATTAATGTAACAGGAGGGTGATGCATCCTGACTCCACGGGTCAGGGTGAAGCTTCTGGGCTCAGGACTCTTCCAGACCTTGCCACCCAACGCATGTCTTCATCTAGCTGTTCATTTAAAAGTAGCCTTTAAAATAAATTGGTAATCATAAATATTGCACTTTCCTGAGTTCTGTGTGTCATTCTAGCAAATCATTGAACCTGAAGGGGGCTGTGGGAACCCCCGAATTTGTAGCCAAGTTGGACAGAGATGTGGGTAGCCTGGTGACCTGGGACTTGTGATTGAACTCCTTAACTTGTGGGGTCTTCCCCAACTCAGGTAATTCATGTCAGAAGTGAATTGCAGGGGACTTCCCTGGTGGTCCAGTGGTTAAGAATCCGCCTTCCACTGCAGGGGACCTGGGTTCGATCCCTGGTCAGGGAACTAAGATCTCCACGTGCAGCAGGACAACTAAGCCCACGCACTGCAACTACTGAGCCCCCAGCCAAAACTAAGACCTGACGCAGCCAAAAATAAATTAAAAAAATTTTTTTAAAGAATTGAATTGTAGGACGGTTGGTATCAGAGAATTGGTGTCAGAACATAAAGAGCAAGAAGTTTCAGGATTTCCCTGGTGGTCCAGTGGTTAAGACTCTGCCCTTCCACTGCTGGGGACAATGGTTTGATCCCTGGTTGGGGAAGTAAGATCCTGCATGCCGCAGAGTGCAGCCAAAAAAAAAAAAAAAGGTTTTGACCCCTACTTACTAATCCCTGGCGTTTTCTATCTTTTAACTCTAATCTGATAGTTGAGAAACCCCAGGCCCCTGGCAAGATCAGGAGGTAGCATCATGCAGCTAGCTGAGCCTAGAGGGAGCAAATCCATGGCTGTTCACCACAACCAACCCCCCTCCACCCTGCATCCAGCCTTTGGAGAGCCCTGTAGATGATTCCATTGCCCGAATTAGGAATAATAATATCTACGATGGAGTGAGCACACATGATGCACCAAGTACTTTTCATAACTTTTTTCCTCTGGAAAACCATGTTTATTTACAACTCCCAGTTAAAAGTAATTTGAACAAGGTGGGGGGATGGGTATTGGAATTTGTGAGTTAGCTACAGATTAGAAATAATAGCAAAGTAGTTATGTACAAATCACATATCTGGTAAAGGACTTTTATCCAGGGTCCCAAAACTCAACAATAATAAACAACTCCTGGGCTTCCCTGGTGGCACAGTGGTTAAGAATCCGCCTGCCAATGCAGGGGACACAGGTTCAAGCCCTGGTCTGGGAAGATCCCACATGCCGCAGAGCAACTAAGCCTGTGTAGCAACAGCTACTGAACCTGTGTGCTAGAGCCCCCGAGCCACAACTACTGAGCCCGGGTGCCATACCTACTGAAACCCGCACACCTGGAGCCTGTGCTCTGCAACAAGAGAAGCCACCGCAATGAAAAGCCCACACACGCTGCAACTAGAGAAAGCCCGCACGCAGCAACGAAGACCCAACACAGCCAAAAATAAATAAATAAAATAATTTTTTAAAAAAGAAAAGAAACAACTTGTGTGGTGATGGAAATGTCAACTAGTTGTAATCATTTCACAGTATATATGTGAATCAAATCATCACACTGTATACCTTAAACTTACATGTTTTATGTCAATTATATCTCAATAAAGCTGAAAAAAAACCTATTTTTTAAAAGCAAAAGATGTTTTTTTAAATTTATTTTTGGCTACATTGGATCTTTGTTGTTGCGCGGCTTTCTGTAGTTGCGTCGGGGCGGCGGGGGGGGCTGCGGTCCGCAGGCTTCTCAATGCAGTAACTTCTCTTGTTGCGGAGCATGGGCTCTAGGCACACGGGCTTCAATAGTTGTGACACGTGGGCTCAGTAGTTGTGGCTCGCGGGCTCTAGAGCACAGGCTCAGTAGTTGTGGCACACGGGCTTAGTTGCTCCGCAGCATGTGGGATCTTCCCGGACCAGGGCTTGAACCTGTGTCCCCTGTGTTGGCAGGCGGATTTTAACCACTGTGCCGCCAGGGAAGTCCCAAAGCAAAAGATTTGAATCCACACTTTACCAAAGAACTCACTTTATTGTGCTTTGCTTTACTGCACTTCGCAGATTGTGTTTACAGATTGAAGGTTTGTGGCAACAGTGTCAAGCCCGTCTGTTGGTGCCATTTTCCCAACAACATTCGCTCCCTTTGTGTGTATCTGTCACATTTTGGCAGTTCTCACAATATTTCAAACGCTCAACCAGGAAAAAGATACAACTCGCTGAAGGATCAGATGATGGTTAGCAATTTTATTTAACAATAAGGTATTTTTTAATTAAGGTGTGTATATTTATTAAAGACATAATGCTATCACACACTTAATAGACTATGGTATAGTGTAAACATAACTTTCATATGCACTGGAAAACCAAAAAATTCACGGGATTCCCTTTATTGTGGTGGCCTGGAACAGAACCTGCAGTATGTCTGAGGTGTACCTGTAGATGGTAAATAAGCACAGGAAAAGATGCTCAACATCATTAGTCATGAAGGAAATACAAATTAAAACCACTATGAGATACCACTACATATGTGTTTGAGTGGCTAAAATTAAACAAGACTGACAATACCAAGTGTTAGCAAGGACTTGGAGGAGCTAGAACTCAACTACCCTGCTGGTGGGAATGCAAAATGGTACAACCACTTTGGAACACAGCTTGGTAGTTTCTTAAAAAGTGAGAGCTTCCCTGGTGGTGCAGTGGTTGAGAGTCTGCCTGCCGATGCAGGGGAAACGGGTTCGTGCCCTGGTCCGGGAAGATCCCACATGCCGCGGAGCAGCTGGGCCCGTGAGCCATGGCTGCTGAGCCTGTATCTCCGGAGCCTGTACTCTACAACGGGAGAGGCCCGTGTACCGCAAAAAAAAATAATAAATATATAAAAAATTTTTTAAAAAGTGAAATAAGGTTTAAAATAATAATTTTTTTAAATTAGAATTAAACAAAAGAGAAAAAAATGAAACAACACCTACCATATGACCCAGCCCTTCCACTAGAAAGCATTTACTCAAGAGGAATGAAAGTATATATCCACACAAAGACACGTACATGAATGTTCATAGCAACTTTATTTGTAATAAATAGTCCAAAACAGGAAACAGCCAAACGTGTATCAACAGGCAACTAGCTAAACAAACGGTGGTACATCCATATGATGGAATACTACTTGGCAATAAAAGGAATGACCATTAATACATGCAACAACATGGATGAATCTCAAAATAATGATGCTTAGTGAAAGATGCCAAATAAGGAGTACGTACAATATGATTCTATTTATATAATTCTGAAAAATTCAAATTCATCTATAGTGACAGAAAACGGATCAGTGGTTACTTCGGGATGGGGAGGCAAGGAGGAACAGGAGGCCCTGATTACAAAGAGGAAGAAGCTTTGCAGGTGATGGAAATGTTTCTCTCGATTGCAATAATGGTTTCACTGGTGTGTATGTGTAAAAGTCATCAAACAGTACATTTTTAATAGATGCAGTTCATTGTGTGCCAATTATACCTCAGTAAAGCTGTTTTAAAAGAAGCAACAGAAGAAGGCAGCTAGAGGGACCTGCCCATAGCTTGTCACCGGAACATTTTCATTATCTCCACTTGATTTTATCATCTGGGAAAGGATTATGTTGCCTGTTTGATTTTGTTTTTTAAGCCATTACAGAGTTTTTTTAAGTGGTTACTTTAAAATATCTAAACTTACGTTTTCTTACTTTTTTTTTTTGGCTGTGCGGCGTGGCATGGGGGATCTTAGTTCCCAGATCAGGGAGCGAACCAGTGCCCCCTGCAGTGGAAGCACAGAGTCCTATCCACTGAGCCACCAGGGAATTCCCTCACATAGTATTTGATACATACAAAAGGGTGTGTGGAACCTTATGTGCATTAGGAACTGAGCTATAAATCGAATACTCATGAACCCACCACACAGCCTGAGAAGCAAGATATTACCAACACCTTTGCAAATTCCTGGGATCCTTCCTTACCCCATTCCCACTCCCCTCACAGGGGCCACCATGTGAATTTTGTGCTGTTTCTTCCCCTGATCTCCTAAGTGTTTTATCACACGTGCTTAAATCACCAAACAATAGATGGTTTAGTTTTGCTTATTTTTGCTATCATACTGTGTGTCATTTTATGCAATTTGCTGTTTTCACTCAGCATTACATCTCTATGATTCATCTGTGTCATTGCATTATGTGTACTACAATACTTCCAATCCTCCCTATACCCTGCAGATAGACTTAGGACATGGTCTACCTGGGGAAAACACAGCTCAGCAAACTCATCCAGTCCGGGGGCCCAACTCTAGGGCCTCCTCTTCACAATATCACGCTCATTCCTTCACTCAGAAAGCATGACTGAGGGCCTTCTGTGCACCAGGCAGTGACCAGGCACTGGACATACCACTGTGAGCACGGCCGATGCCCTGCTGTCTTGAAGCGCACATTCTGGTTGTCACCTCTCACCTTGACCCTCACTTGACTCGGCTATGGGCCAGCTACCCGAACATCCTGGGGTGCCCTAGCCTCTTCTGCTGACCCACGGGATGGCTTACAGAGGCTGATCTGACCCATCCCAGAGGCTTCTGCCCAGGGAGGGCAGTGTGACAGTAGTTGTCACAAGGACAAAGACAGCCAGCTCTGACCCAGCAAGGCCACTTCCGGGAATTAATCCTACGGGACACTTGAATACCTACACAGTGGCAATGGCATAAGAGTATTTATTGCTGCATCATTTGTAATAGCAAACTAGTAGAAACAACTGAAATTTCCATCAATAGGGATCTAACTACAGTTAATTCACATTAGTTATGGGAAACCCATACAGTGGAACACCAGCTATAAAAGAACGAAGTGGGAGGCACGGATCATGGAAAGCTCTTAAGGACAGATTTTTTTTTTTTTTGGCCACTCACTCAGCTTGCGGGATCTTAGTATCCCGGGTAGGGATCGAACCCGGGCCCTCGGCAGTGAAAGCACGGAGTCCTAACCCCTGGACCGCCGGGGAATTCCCTCCAGGACAGATCTTAAAGGGCAAGATTAGAACAGTGTGTGGAATATATTACCGTGTATGTAAGAAACAGGGAAGACTAAAGCATACCATTACTTCTTAAATATGCATAAGTACTTCCAGAAGGTTTATAAGTAACTGGGACCTGAATAGGAGACTTCTCATTGTATTTACTTTGTATTTTTTTAAAAATTGTGTACCTATGGCCAAGGGCTACCTATTAAAAAACATACAGATAAAATAACAATTTTGGTCTTTCAGTGCATATTCCCTGGCTTCTTGGCCTTTCTTTGGCTGGTGGCCAGACTCTGCTGGCAGCAAATATTTTATCAGGGGCCCCTGCTTTTCCCAGGCACCCCTGCTTTGGCACATTACATTCTGACACCCCCCAACCCTCCTTTAGAGTGTTGGGGCAACCTGCCACAAGGTGGCACTGTCTGCTGCCTGCTGCTCTGTGGGCTGAAAGTCCTCTCCAGGTACCTGGGGTCAAGGGTCAGGGGTCTCTGTCCACGGAGCAGCCTGGTCAGTGCCTGGGGCCACAGGGGGCTCCCTGGTCTGGGGGTGTGGAGCCCGCTAAGAGGGAAATGTAGGAGAATGGCGATGCAAAGCACAAGGCCAGCAACAGGTGGACGAATGTGCCCTCGAGATGCAGGCTCCAGCAAGGGCAGCTCCCCTCACTGGGGGCGGGTCCACATCTTGGTAGGGGCCCCTCTGGGAGCCCAGGGATAGGCACTGAAGAGATCCTCTGGGAATTCTTGCTAAATGGACACAGGCTGATCTTCCCAGAGTCTAGCTTGGTGAGCACACCCATGTTCAGTAATCCTGGCCTGACAGAGCAACTGATATCCAGGCAGCAGGTGGGAGGCCGGGAGGCAGCCCCAGGCCTGGGTGGGGGATACAGGTCAGGGCAGGCTGTCTCCAAAGGCTGCAGCCTCCCTGGCGCTGGGTGGAGCAGCCCTTGGCGGGCCTCTCCTGGGCCCTTCCATAGGCTACCTGGTGAGATCTCATATGGGACAGGGGTGCTCGGACGAGTCCCTTGTTTAGTGCCTCCCCCGGCCCCATCTGCATGACTCCTTGGCCACAAAAGAGACCTCACACTGCAAGGCTGAGGGCTCATCCTGAGCAAGGGAGCCCAGGAAGACACAGAGACCCTGAGATGCCACAGAGGGCCATGGCCTCCCCCTCACCTCTGCCTGGCTCCCCATGAGAGCCACCAGAACACTGGTGGCCTCCCTTCCATGTTATATCCACAGCACCTGGTGCCACAGAAAGAAAGAAAGGTGTCCTGGAGGGAGAGGTAGAGGGAGATGAGGCAGGTGGGCTCAGCTCCCCCCAAACCAGAGGGACCAGTGGAATAAAATCAAACCAGCTTTAATACCAATATAGTCTCTCTTTTAAATACCATGTTCCCCAGGACAGAGCACAGGGGCAGGCTCTTGGCAGGAAGAGTGGAAAGGAAATGTGGAACCGAATGGAATGGATAGCCCCGGGCCTGCCCCCAACCAGCCCAGGGCCCCTGCCAGGGGGCACTGGGGACTGGCTGCCCGCCGGGGAGGGGGAGGTGACAGCAGCTTCCTCTGGTCCAGTTATTGCAGAGGTGTGGGGTAGGCACCCTTACCCTCCCCAGCCCCCAAACTCTTCTCAGGATTTCTGCCCTTCAGACCAGCAGAGCCGAGGCCTGGGCTCCTCTGATCTGGGAGGGGCCCCTCTGCCTAAAAGAACTGCTGCTAAGGCCTGGAGTGGGCGGGGGATGCCCCCGGCCAGGCCGGCCCACTGGCTCAGTAACTGCTCTGATGGCCTGTGAGAATGTAGAGGTTGCTGTGAGCCCCCGGCTTGTCGGTGGGAATGCTCTCAAGGATGATGTCTCTGGAGGGGAGAGAACCTGAAGTGAGCAAGGTGGGAAGACACTTGGGCACCTCCACCTGGCCTGGAGAGCGTCTGAAGGGGAGGCCGGGGCACTGTGTCCTACCTGTGGGCCCCAAGCACTCGGAAGATCCTTGTCTCGTCTGTGATCTCCTGGGTCACCTGGGAAGAAAAGGGGGACTGAGGCTGCCCCAGAGGTCCTCTCCTAAAAGGTGGGGACACCTGGGTGGGGAGCCACCAGGGTCCTGAGTGTCACTCACCTCATTAGTGTCCAGGCTGCGGCCTTGCATCCCATGGCTCCAGAAGGCCAGCACACTGTCCTGCAGACACACTAGGAGCGGCCAGGCGGCCATCAGCCCTGCACCTGCCCTGGGGACACTGGCTCCCCCAGCTACACCCTGGGCCCAGGTCTGGACCACAGAGGACCTCACGGACTGGGCCGCAGGTGACCAACATGGCTCTCAAGAGGGGCTGGGGGACCTGCCTCCTTGTCCTGCTGCCAGCCCCAGGCCCCGGGGCCACATCATGTGCTCCAGGCCAGGGATACTCCCACCCCCACCTCTGTCTGCTCACTTACCCACAGTCTCAATGGGGAAGTCAAAGGTCAGCACAGGCGCCAGTGTCACCGTGGGCTCGCCCAGCAGGTTGACGATCCTCACGCAGCCTATACAGGGGGCGGGCTGGTGGGCGGGGCGGGGCGGGGTGGCCCCCTTCTGGGGAGACAGACCCACCTGGCCTCCCTCACCACCCGCTTCTAGCCCCCAGCCCTGATACCAGGAACACTCACGGTCAAAGCAGACTAGGACTGTGTCCCTGTCCACCTGGATCACCTGCTGGGCTGAGCCCGGAAGCCCCTCTGCAGGCAGAGAAGGGAGACAAAGCCTGGCTGAGCCACCAGCCCCGCTCTGGCCCCAAGAGGAAGAGCTGGGGGTGTGCATCAGCCGGCTTTCCCCACAGTGCATTGCGCAATAGCTGGGTGGGGTCACGATGCCCAGTCTCACTGCACAGCAGGGGAACTGATGCTTGGCAGCAAAGTGACCCATCACAAGCGGCAGGGCTGAGGCCCAGGGAGGCTTTGGGGGGCAGAGGCTCTGGAGCCAGGAGAGCCAGGCTTCATGACCCAGTCACTGTGTGACCTCGAATCTCTGGGCCTCAGTTTCTTCATCTGTAACCCAGGCACGACGATGCCTACCTTGCAGGGCCATTGTGGGGATCAAGAGTAAAATCCCATGGGACCCCTGGCTGGGGGTCTGGGCTACCGCAAGGACTTGGTCCAGGGCACCTTCCCCCTTCTTTACCCACTGCCACTCACTCTGCTCCCCTGAGCTGTCCCAACACCCAGTGTCCTTCCTTGCTCAGAATGGAGGCCTCTGGCACCTGCCTTCCCCAGCTTGGCTCTGTCCCTGCAGCCCCTGCAGCCCCTGCAGGGTTGGTCAGGTTTTCTTAGCTGCTGAGCTGAAGAGAAGCTTGGAGCTTCGGGTCCCCAAGGTCTCCGGGGAGCCATAAGCTGTGAGGAACTTCCCCCTCTCCCTTCCCTCCCCCTCCCTCCCCCTCCCTCCCCCTCCCCTCCCCCTCTCCCCCTCTCTCTCTCTATATATATATATCACACGCACATGCACACACTCACATACAGCAGCCTGGCCCTCCAGCTCACCGGGTGGGAGGAGGATGTCCGGCGTCAGGCCAGCCTCCAGCGGCAGGACATGGAACAGGACGCGGCAGCCAGGCCCTTCGGGGCCCTCAGCCCCCACGCACACCTGTGGTAGCTCCTTCCCATCCAGCACCAGCGGCTCCAGCATCCTTGCTGGGCTGGGCAAGGGGCTGGAGAAGTTCTGGGGGCAGCAGGGGCGCTCAGGTCTACATTTCTCCTCCCAGAAACCCTGCCACCCGCCCGGGGGTCCCCCCACCGGCACCGCACCTTTAGCAGCAGGAATTTCTGCAGCGGCTCATACCACTGCAGCAGAAGCAGACTGGTGGGCAGCGCGGCCAGCAGGAAGGTGCTGCCTGTGTGCGGATTCCGCACTGCGAGAGAGGGGGTGGTGGGGCCGGGGCTGTGCCCACCCGCGCCCCCCCCGGCCCCGCCCACCACACCCAGCTCTTACCCACGCGACACTGCAGGCAGCCTTTGGTGTCAGGAATCTTGGTGGACAGGGCAAAGCGCCTGTGGGGTGGCAACCAGGGCAGGCGTCACGGGTGCCACCCTGGGCAAGGCCCCCTGCAGAGCCCTAAGGGGACGGTACTAACACCTTCCCCGCCTCACAGGTGGCAGAGGCTCAGAGAGGTCAAGCCCCTGGCCCGAGTATCCGAGAAGCCACGAAACTGTGAATCGCGCAGGATGTGATGCAGTGCTTGTGGCTCCAGCACCCGCTATACAGCCTGGAGCGTGTACATCCAGTCCAGGGGTTTGGATCACAGAGTTACCTCTCACCGTGTGACTTGGGGCAAGGCACTGAACCTCTCCGGGCCTCAACTGCTTCACCTGCTTCACCTGCAGCTTCACCAGCAGTACCCTCAGGACTTGACCTCTCCGGGCCTCAACTGCTTCACCTGCAGCCTGGGGATAACCGTGGTACCCCCCTCACAGGGTCGCAGTGAGGCCTAAATGAGTTAACTCAGGGGAGGAGCGTGCAGCAGAGCCTGCCACATCAGGTGCCCTCACAAAAGGCTAACTTTTCTCATCCCGTTATTATTACTTTCCCACCTATTTTCAGTCATCGAAAATACTTGTTAGGCAAAGGCAGGGTGTAAATAAAGAAATAACTGAAAAAAACGAGGGTGTGGGAGGACGGCAAGCTAATGCGGCCTCCAGCTCCTCCGGCGGCCAGAGCACTCAGGGCCGGTCCCCACCTGACACACTGCAAGTCACAGATGAGCAAGCCGGGCCGAGAACATGACGACTCCCCAGAAAACGGCAAACGCCCTGCCCTCTCCTGCTTCAGGGCAGGCTATTCCAGGGGGGGACCAGCGGGTGCCGAGGGAGAAGCGGGGTCCCTCCTTTGGTTACTGGCTGTCCCCCAAACCCTCAGGGGACCTTCCAAACCTGCTTCTTCCCTTGGGGAACAGGGCTACACGTCAGCAGCCCTGCCACCTCCTCCCACTGACCCAGCCCTGTCTGCACCCTCTGCTGGGATGTGGGCCCCGCCAAGGAAGCCAGCACCTCTGTCTCCGCCTCTGTCCTCACTCTCCTCTCTCCCCTTGTTCCTTCCACTCTCTTTCCCAGCTGGCCTTCAGATGGGACAGAGGCGGACATTTTTTGGTTTTTTTCCCAACAATTCGAGATCTCTGCTGTGATACTGTGATTTCCCAAACACACACCCAAAGCTGCCTGTGACTTGGGCCTGTAATGGGCCTGTTTCCTGCAGGTCCTGGGCCAAAGCAGAGGTTGGCTTCGGACTGAGGTCAGGAAGCCCCAAGGCCACGGGGCTCCCGATGTGCTCCTCAGGCGAGCCCGCTGAATCATGGCCCTGGGCCCCTCATCTCCCCTCGGCCCGGCCTCCCATGCCCTCCTCACCGGCTTCCACCACCCACCGGGTCATGACGATGTCTAAGCCCACAGCCCGCCTCCCCGCTCAGAACTCAGCGCCATCCCCCACCCCCCAGCCCCCGCCAAGGGCCGAGGCCCCACTTGCACATTTCAAACTCCATGTGACAACACTGAATTCTGCTCCACCCACAGCTGATGACAGCTCCATCCTTCCCATTGCCTAGGCCAAAAGCTTGGAGTCATCCTTGACTCCCCTTTCTCTTCCATCCACCAACTGTCCGGAAATCCTGTTGGTTCAGTTTTCAAAATAAAACTAGACTCTGACCGCTTTTCTACTCCTTCACGGCCTCCCTGGCCCAAGCCGCCATCATGTCCCACCTGATGGTGCCACAGCCTCCTGATGGGTCTCCGCATCCGCCCGCGTCCCCTCCAGTCTCCTCCCAGCTCAGCAGCCAGAGTGACCCGTGAAAACCTCAGTCATGCCGCTCCTCTGCAGCGGCCCTCAGGCTGCTCTAAGTCAGGGGCAAAGCCCTCACTGTGACTACAGAGCCCTCGGAGGCCAGCTCCCTCTCACTCCGTCCATCTGGACTCACTGGGCTCCTTGCTGTTCCTCATACAGGCAGGACGGCTCCAGCCCCCCAGATACCCTCAGGACTTGCTCCATCAACCCCTCCGAGTCTTTGCTCAAAAAGCACCTTCTCAGCGAGGTCTTTCCTGACCACCCTGCCCTTCTCCACGGGGCACTTTCCCCTCTGTGTCACCACCGCATAGACTCCTTCTCATGTCCGCTGTTGTCTGTCTCAACAGGAGGGTCTTGGGAATATAAGGGTCTCCAGTTCCCAAGTGTATCTCACGCCCAGGACACTGCCTGGCGCATACCGGGTGCTGAATGGCTGAATGAGGGACTCTACTGCCCTGTAAACGCACCACAGTCTGCTCTCTGGGGTCTCCCGGTCCCTCCCTTTCCCTCCAGCTCACTCTGATTAGTCCCCAAATCCTGTCAATCCCACTTCCTAAATATTGCTCGAGTCCATCTAGTTCTCACTGCCCTACACTGCCTTGGGTCACTACACCGGCCTCCCTTCCAGGCCCTCTCGCCAGCCTCCCCCTCCATTCCTCCTTCCCACTGTCACCAGAGAGGCCAGCAGATGTTCCTGTTTCCATCTGCCCAGACAAGCCCCTCTCTCCGTCCCCCAGCTCCAAGAGAGGGCACGGGACGCAGGCCTGGGCCCTGGCTCCTCATGCCCTTCCACAGTGACTAGCCCAGGGGTAGGCATGGACCTAAGCTAGGCCAGTGAGAACTGGCCCTGGACTTTTGTGGGAATTACTTGGAAACAGAGGTTCCAGTTCCACTGGGTTGTTAGCTAGTGGAAGCTGGCCTGGACCTGCAGGCAGCCATCACTGGACAAGAAAGCCTGCGTGAGAATGAAGGTGACAAGAGGAAAACAGAGCCAGGAGATGCAGGAAGATGCCTGAGGATGCCATTTAAGCCTGGATCCAGCTGGACATGCAGCTGAGCCTACTCCTACACGAGCCGTTGTGCTTAAGCCGGTGAGTTGAATCACCTGCAACGGGAAAAATCCTGATTGACGTACAGAGGGATCCTTCTAAGATGCTCCGGGTCCGCTACCAGTCAGACAAAGCCCAGATCCTGGGCCTGGAGTCAACGGCAGGCCTCTGCCACCTGTGCAGCTTCCTCTTGGGCTGCTCCCCGTCCTCGCTCGGGCCAAACACCTTTTAACTCCCCCGATCGCCTAGGAGAATTCACACTTGTTCCTCCCACTGCTAGAAGGCTGTTCCCTAACTCATCTGCCTGGAAGACCCCCAACGCTCTGTCAACGCCGCGAGCTCGCCTGGCCTCTCTGAGGCCTCCCCACCCCTTCCAGCTCTCCCCCTGGCGCACCTCAGTCCCAGGAGCTAACTGTCAAGAACTCATTTGATTTGTCATCCCTAAGCCCAGCCTAAGACCTGCCGCATAGTAGGTACTCAGGAAACATTTGCCCCACAGCCTACCCACCGCAGCTCCCAGAGCTTGCGAGGTACATTCACATGCCCTGTCTCCTTCCCTCCTGACAGGTCTGGGTGCAGGGGCAGGGGAGGCTACCAACTATATTGACCTATGAGGAAACCGGGCCTCAGAGAGGCCAAGTGACGTGTCTAAGATCCCAACAGTCTCAGTACCAGGAAAGGCTGCATTCCAGCCCTGGCTCTGTCCCTTTGCCTCTCTCTCCTCCCTCATCCCCGCAGGGCCAGGCTCCCCAGGGTCCCTGACCTGGGGATGATGCGCTGAGTGAGGCGATTGGTGGGGATGGAGAGGGGGACCTGTTGCTGTAGCCGCCGCTGCTCAAACAAGCCTGGGAGGTCGTGGGCCCAGATGTGCGTGGATTTCCCTGCGGGGGGATGGGACGGAGGGGAGAGGGGCTCAGAGAGTGTTGGTGGGTGGGGCGCTGGCCCTGCCCCCGCCTGCCCCAACTGTACCTGAGAGTGACAGCAGCACGTTGTTCACGCAGTAAAGCCAGGCGCAGCGGTGTGAAATCAGCTGGAGGCCACAGAGCCATAGATGGACAGGGGTCAGCACCCCAGACGCCCAAGGCCCTCGGCCCTCCCCCGCCAGCCGGGCCTCACCTTCTCCAGCGTATCCTCATGCAGTTCATGCAGGTTGAGGGTGTAGATGCCTTCCTCGGCCCCCACCACCAGGAACTGGTCTGCAGGTTTGGGTATGGAGTCAGAGGTCAGCCACGTCCCCTGGCCCAAGCTGGGGATTCCCAGGCTCCTGCTTCCTCCCTGCCCCTGGCCTACCCCGGGTGACAGGGTGAATCCAGGTGACAGCAGCGTGGATCCGCAGGGGGCAGCCATTGAAGACCTTGGAGAAGCAGGCGCCCATCTGGAGAGGAGGCAAGAGGCTGATGAGGAAGCACCAGGTGGGGGGACGGGGCAGGGGGAGCCACAGGCGGTGAGGCAGAAGGCGGTGGGGAGGCGGAGCCATGCGCAAACGCTTACGTGCACCTTGGGGGTCGGGGGGAGCCCACGGCAGGATGACCTCTGGGAGGGAAGAAAGGAGTCAGGGCCACACCCCCAGCCTCCCATCTCCCCGACCCCCCCCTACAGCACCGCCTTACCTCATGATCTTCCCGGTGCTTCACGGTAGCCCAGGCAGTGGAGAGCAGCGGGGGGCTGTCAGGGCATGGGAGAGGTGCAGGTGCGGTTCCTGCAGGCACAGACCTGCCGTGAATTCCGGTCCTGGACCGCCCCCTGCCTCCAGGGGCCTGCCTCCTCGTCCCTGGAGCCTGGGGCTCACCTGGGAGGCTGGATTGAAGGTCCTCAGCCGGAGGCTCAGTGGGGGATGGCTCCAAGAACGGGGCCCTCTTGATGGTTCCTATGGTATCATCTGGGGAGTCCAGCTCCTGGCAGGAGGGTCAGCGGACCCAGCCCAGCTGTTAGCAGGTGACCCTGTAACCTACCCCCACCCCAACTGCACCCGCTATCGCACTGCCCCCCATCCCCATCCCCCGCTCCCCTCCTCTCCGTACCTTGAGTTCCAAGGCTGGCCGGATGGTCAGGCTCCTGTCGGGGACAAACCAGAGGGAGATGAGGTGTGAGATGTGACTGGGTCCTGAGCCCAGCTGCCCCCCACCTCCTCCGGGCCCTGGCCCCTCACCTTTCCTCCAGAGCCTCCTGGACTGACTGCAGCAGGCTCCTGGGTAGAGAGGGGAAGGGATCAGAGGTCAGCCTTTCCTCCTGCCCCTCCCCCCCCACAGCTCCCCCACCCCCCTCACTCACGAGCTCAGCTCCTCCTTTCCCAGCAGCGTCCACTCCTCTTCCCACTGTGGGGAAACCGAGTCAGAAAGACCGGGAGGGAGGCAGAGAGACAGACAGGCAACGTAAGAGAGTGCTGGAGAGATTGTGGGAGAGAGAGATGGCAGACAGACAGACAGATGGAAAGTGAGATTGGTAACAAGCAGGAGAACTGTGAGAAAGACAACGAGAGGCCAAGAAAGTGTGAAAAAGGGCCAAACAGACAAACAAGGAGAGAGAAGGAGACAGAGAGACAGTGAGAGAAAAGGGCAGGGAGGGACTGAGATCGTGTGGGTGAGAAAGATGCTGATAAGTAGAGACAGCGAGAGAGCAGAGATGGTGAGTCAGCCAACCCAGCAGTCACAGCGACTGAGGCAGAGAAGAACGTGCCGAAGGGGGCGGGGGCGTCCTCAGACGAGTGACAGGCCCACGTTTTAGAATGGCGTGGTCACCCTGCCACCCCCAGCCGACTGTCCAAAACAACCTGCCCCAGGAGGAGCCCCCAGGCTTCCGGGTCCCTGGGCGGACAGGCCTGCTTGGACAGCTCTCCCGGGCCGAGGGCCAGGCTGCTGCTGCTTCACGGCTCCTGAGTTTGAGGTGCTCGGTCACCCGCACAGCTCCCCAGCCCAGCCCTCTGCCCCACCCTGCCACACCGCCAGCCCCTCACCGGCTCATTCAGTGGGTCTGTTTCCTTCCTTCGTGGGGCACCAAACTTCACCTGGTGAACTGGAGGGCCCAGATCCAGGGGTTAGGGGGGCCAGAGCCTCAGGACTGACCCCTTAACTCACACCAGATCCACACGCACAGCCCCCCAATCCACACAGCCCCCCACCAAGTCCACACACAGCCGCCAATCCACACAGCCCCCCACCAAAGCAGACTCACACTGGATCTCCGAGGGGGTCCTCTCGGCTGGGCCATGCTGCCCCCGGGAGTGAATGGTGTCCGGAAACATGTCGTAAGTCTATAAGAGAGCACAGACAGCGGACACATGTCCACGCTCACCTCACACCAGGTATTCCTCGAGCTGCTTAACACACACTGACGTGTCTGTTTTCACGAAAACGCCCTGAGATTATCGCGAGATTAAATGGCACCCTCGTTTCACAGATGAGAAAACCAGCACAGAGAGGCCAGTAACTCGCCAAAGATCACAGAGAAAGCAGAAGATGGCTTAACTAGGGTCACAGTCACGCTGGGCCAAGGGCAAGAACCTATCACAGTGGGGCGACAAGGAGGCAAACCGGCTCAGGGAAGATTCCTAATGGGTGGGCTCGACCAGACTGAAGCTCCATGTGCTGGAAACACACAGGCTGAAGGGCCCTTGACTTCTGTCACCTCTGCATGCCTATGACCAGACCAGGCCAAAACCCAGTCCCCAGCGGCTCTCACTTACCTCCAGGTCACAGTCTTCTGGGGAGGGGGTTCCCAGGTGGGGGTCATTGGCCTTGTCCAACAGCTGTGTGAGGAGAGCCCGAGGCAACTGCTGGGTCGTGAAGGGGTGCTGGAGGATGGAGGGGGTGCAGGTTGGTCCCTGGCCTCCGGGTCCCTGCTTCTGAGCATCTAGCCCCCTGCCCCACCCCCCTACCTCCCACCTGCAGGAGCTTCTCTGCTGTTGGCCTCTTCTTGGGGTTCTTGGTCAAGGCAAGCTTGAGGAAGTGATGGAAATACTGGGTCCTAGTGGATACAAGAGACCCCACCCGCAGGCCCAGATTAGCCCTCAGGCAGGCCATCCTGCCACCACTCCTGAGGAGTCTGCTGGGCCTGCCCAGGAAGGAGCCAGCCTGAGACCAAGGGCAGCTGGCCTGAGCAACACTGCTATTGCGACACGGCAGCGCCTCCATCATCAACCATCTGCCCTTCTTCTTTGTCCACGCTGGTCCCCAGCCCCGAGGCAGGGCCCAGGCCTCTCCCGCGGATGGTCTGTGGAGGCCCAGAGAGGGCAGGGCCCTCGAGGTTGCACCCTGGGGGGTGGCAGAAGGCTCCTCTGCCCCCATGGGGCTGGGCTGAAAAGGGGGCCCCAGCAAGGGATGTGGGCCCTCACCAGCGAGTCTTGTCTCTCAGCTTTGGCGGCTGGAAGCTGCTCTTTGACATCAGCATCAAGGCCCTGTGGAGACCACAGGTCAGGGGTCGAGGGTCACAGGGCTCTTGGGGTCAGGCGAGGGGCAAGTATCCAGCTGACCTCATGGGGTGCAGGTGGAAGAGAGGGGGCTGCAGCTCGCCCAGCTCGATGGCGGTGATGCCCAGGGCCCAGATGTCACACAGCTCATTGTAGCCACCTTTGCGCTCCACGGCGGCCACCTCCGGGGCCATCCTAGAGGCGGGGTCACAGATGAGACGGCCGGGTGCCCCGCTGTGGCCCCCACCCCCTCAGCCAGAGGTGCAGCCTCACCAGTATGGAGTCCCAATGAAAGACCTCCTCTTCGCCACAGACGCCGTCAGCTCGCCTGACACCCCAAAGTCAGCTACAGGGAGAAAGAGCTGCTCTCACCCGACCTCTGGCTGCCACTCCCCACCCCCTTTCAGGGCTCAGGCTCAGGATGCACCTGGCAGGCTCAGAAAACAGGCAGCCCAGGTTCAGCCACAACTGCCACAGGCACAAGGCAAAGCCAGGTCCCCTCCTGGGAGGGGTCAACCACCTTCTCTCCACGACCAAGTGCCCGGTCCCATGTTAGACTCCATACGGACCCAACCACATCCAACTTCTAGCAGGAAGGGAGAACTGCTCCACTTTCTAAATGGGGAAACTGAGGCTCAAGTGGTAAAATGACTTGCTCAAGAACAAGCTGCACTTGAAAGTAGGCTCTAAGACTCCAGGAGCTCCCATAGAACCCTCACCCTGATTGTGTCAATACTGACCCAGCTTGACATCTCCCTGGAGGGTGAGGAGAAGGTTGGCTCCCTGTGGGAATGGAGGAGAGAGAATCCCGTCTGGTGCCCCCGAGAGCCTCCTCCTCCCTCCCACGATGCCCTTGGCCAGACCCCTACCTTGATGTCTCTGTGGATCTTCCCCTGAGAATGCAAGTGGTGCAGCCCCTGGGGACGAAGAGGAGCCCCTGAGAGCAGCTACCCAGTATATCCCACCTCTCCTGAACCCCCTCTCAGGACTGGGGCCCCCCACCCAAGCTGCTTCCTCCTCCCCTCTCCCCAAACAGGAAATGACTGAGCCAAAAGGGAAATGGGCTGCTTCCGGCAACACGGCTGGGGCCCCTTCCCCGCAGGACCCACAGCCCCTCAGGCACCTTTGCCTGAGCACTCCACCCACCCCACCCCCCAACACACACACTGGCCAGCTGGGCTCCCTGCCCTGCTCCAGGGGACTGGGGGTGTGAGTAGCCCTATGGGCCCAGCTACCTTCAGTGCCTCTCGGCAGACATAGGCAATCTGCCGTTCCTCCAGGGGCCCGGTGGCTGAAATGGGAGGGGTAAGGGCTGGCAGGGGGGTCTGGGGGGATATGCTGACCCTCCCAGGATCCACCCTGTGTGGGGTAAGCAGCAGGCATTGCTGGTGAAAGGGGAGTTGGCCACATCCCCTCCCGACATAGGCTGGGATATACAGCCCAGAAAAGGACAGCATTTCTCTCAAGGTCACACAGCTAGTGAGAAGTGGAAAGGGGCCCAAATCCAGGGCCCCAGCTCTCCCCTCCGGCCCTGCGTTGCAGTGGGGATGGGAAGAAGGCTGTGACCCTCTGTGGCCTGGAGTCCTGGCCCTCACCGTGGTAAATCTCCTGCAGGGACCCCCCTCCGCAGAACTCCATGCAGATCCACAAGCGGTCATTCCTGGGGTGACACAGAGCTGGGGTGGGCACATGGTAGGGCCATATGGGGGCTGCCTGGGGGTAAGCAAGGGGATAAAGCAGCCTCACCTGAGGTAGCTGCCAATATAGGCCACCACATTGGGGTGGCGGCACTCACGCAGGATGGTGATTTCCTGCTGAAGGGAGCTGATGTCGTCCCCTGGGAAACACAGGGCATCATGAAGGGGGCCGCCTTAACTCAATGCCCCCATCTGCAGAATGGGCACAGAGTGCCTCCTCTCTCCAGGGCAGACAGGTGCCAGCGGACAGTACCTCCCGGGGCCTGCCTCTCAGGGGGTCTCGGAAATGTCAACTCTCACACCGCGCCCGCTCTGCGGCCCTCTGCCCTCCCTCCAGCGCTGAGGCCCTGGCTCCGGGCCCTCACCTGGGTCTAGCTTGACTATCTTGACCGCAGCCAGTTCGGACGTGACCGTGTCGCGGGCCTGCAGGGGCGGAGGGGGTGAAGCGAGATGAGGAGGGGCGGGGCTGGGGGCCGGATCCCGCAGCAGGGCGCGGAGCGCGTACCCTCCTCTTCTCTCTCCCGTCCGTCCCGCCGCCCGGCGCACCTTGTAGACGTCGCCATAGGTCCCGGCCCCCACGCGCTGCAGCAGCTCGAAGCGGTCCCGCGGATCCTGCAGCGACACATCCTGCAGCAGCGCCATGGCCCGGCGCCGGGCGGGCGCGAGCTGCGGAGCCGGCGCGGGGCGGCGCGGGGCGGGGCGGGGTGGGACCGCCGAGGCGGGCGCCGGTGGCTCAGAGGCCGCGGGGGCGGGGCCGGGGCCCGGGGCGGGGCCAGGCCGGGGATGCCCCGCCGCCCGGCCGAGAGGAGGCGCCAGCGGGACCGGCCCTCGGCAGCTAGGGAAAGTCCCGAGCCCGGGAGGAGCTGATGGTGCCGAGGCTCTTCTGCCGGCCACCAGTTCCTCGCGCTCTACAGGTGGGGAGCCCGAAACCCGGAGGGCCGGAAGGCAGAGGAAAGAGGGGGAGCTCCACTCCCAAATTCCCAGATGAAACACGGACAAGTACTTTTTTTTTTTTTTACAAAATGTATTCATCTTCCTTGGAACTGAAAAATAAATCTATGTACAAAACAGGAAGCGATCAGGCTCCCCTCACCCACTCGCAAACCCCTGCAGATTTCCTCCAGAGTCCCCCGAGACGGGATGGACCCCGGGGAGGTTCCCAGAGGGTCGGAAGAGAGGTCTGCTCTGATCTGGGGCCCGTTTGGTCAGGAAGCGGGTGGGGCTCAGGATTCGCACACGCCGGGAGCGGAGTTTCGTGTCCCGGACTCGCGACAGGGAAGGAAGCTAGGATTTCCAAGTTCTGGAAGCGTTACTTAAGTTCTTTGCGGTAGGGGGCTTGGATTCCCAAGGAATGGAATTTTGAAGGGCGGAAATGTACTCCTAGGGGCTGAGCGGGGTCCTTGGTTCCCGGGCTGTGGGTGGGACCTGTGCTCCTAGGGTTTAGGGTGAAACAGCCCTATGGGCTGGAAGCAACCCTGAGCCAACACTGGTCAGGCCGAAGGTTAGAGCCTCGGTTCTGAGATGGAGCCTGAGCTTCCCGTAGTTGGACCTTTAAAGATGGGTGAAGGACTCAAGGTAAGGTTTCAATTGGCCGGCTGGGATTCTGGGGGATGGGCTCTATATTCCAGTGACTGGGCGGAGCCCTCGGTTCGGGCGCTGGGTGGAGTCTACTCTGGGAACCTGCAGCCTGAGTTCCGGGTAGGGGTGGGGCCTGGAGGCGGGGCCTAGGCCCCTAGGCCAGGGGCGGAGCCTGGGCTCGCTAGGGGGACTGGGGGTGGAACCTAATCCTGATTGAGGGCGGGCTCCGAGTGGGCCGCTACTGAGACCCGGGTACTTCAGAGGCCCTTGCGCTGCCGCTTGAGGAATGAAAGAGTGTAGTCACTAGGTGTAGACACCTTCTGCTTCTTCATCTGTACTTGTGACTGAGCCGTGAGCTGCAGCTTGATGGCGCTCGAATTGATCTTGGTGGCCACCAGCAGCTCCTTCATGCCCTTCATCTTCTCGCTCTGAAAAGTGAGCACCGGACCCTCCGGTGGCGGCGAGGCGGCGGGCGCCAGCGCTGCAGCCGCGCTGCCGCCTTCAGGGCCGCGGGCAGTGCTCGGGACGGTGCCTGGGGGCTTCCGGGGAGGTCCTGGCACCGCACCCTGGCCCGCGCCTGGGCCCTTGTCCAGCGCCGGCTTCTTAGGCGGCGGAGGCTCCTCAGGCTTGGATTCCCGCCGCGGGCCCCGCCGCCGGCCTTCTCGGGCTTCCTCGCCCCAAGGCTCTTCTGCCTCGGCCGCCTCTGCCTCTCGGCTTACTATGCGTACCTTCTGCCGCACCTGGGCCGCATGGGGGGGGGGGGCAAGCGGAGGAAGAGGTTGCAGGCCAGTGGGTCGAACCCCGAGACCCAGCCAAGACCATCCTGTCGTGGAGCCTCGGTCTCGACCGCACCCAAAGGGGATGGACAGATCCCCTTCAGGGCTACAAAGGTTCTGACTCTGCTGTAGCTGCTGTCACCACCTGTCCTCCCCAGCCACCCTGCACAGCTGTCCCTCACCTGTCCCTCAAAACGGCCCAGGGACTGCACAAGGAAGGTGGCCCAGCCCACGTGCAGCACGGGCGTGGGACTGCCCTCTTCCCATTTGCAGATGCCGTCGTAGAATCGCAGCAGGTGGGCGAAACACTCTGGGTCCTGGAGGGCAGAACCCTGGCTCTGGGTGCCCTGGAAAAGGGGGAAAGGAGGACACAGTTCAGACCCCATTACTCACCCCTCATCAGAGGGCACAGGCCAGACCTCTCGCCTAGACAAAGAGCCCTGGCTCTGGCAGACGTGAGCATAGGTGGAGAAATTTCTTAAAACCGCCTTCCTTTTATAAAACCAGTCCTTAGCCAGGACTTGGAAGGAGGGAGGGACCATCCCTTACCTCCGTCTCACCCCCTCAGCTGAATGAGTGACCCTGACAGAGAAAGAGAGGGGCTTCCACCCCATTTACCTCAACTCCTCAAACCCAAGCCCAGGCCCTCAGCTACTGCATAAGAGAACACAGCTGTCTGCCTGAACTGGGCCACCTGTCTCGTGCCATCCCCAGTTCCATGCAGCAGTCCCACGTCCTGTGACTGGGAGCCCTGCTCAGGTGGGAAGGCGTACACAGGCTGGAGGTCCAGCCCTTCACCTGGGTCTGCTCCCCTGGCCGCTCCTCGCCGGCCTCCAACAGGCTGGCAGCCTCTTTCAGCAGGTTGGGGATGACATCGTTGGCTACTTCAAAGAACTCCTTGTAGATCTCCTCGTCTTCACGGCAGTAGTTGTAGCTGTGAGAGCAGCAGGGCACTGTGGGGTCTCAGCTATGGCGGTTACCCCCAGGGACCTGGCAGGGGATGGAGCCCTGGTTTCTTTTCCGGGGTCATCCAGGGACTGAGTGAACAGTTGGGGTCCTCACTCGAAAATGGTGGTGTCTGTGTCAGCCCAGAGCAAGAGTGAGGAGGGGGATGGGGAATGCAGATTCCACTGCTGGATCACAGTGGTTAGAAATTAGGAGGAAAGGGTGGGGAAGGAAAGGCGTGAAGCTCTCATTAGGGGTCCCTACCTCTTGGGTGATGGTGGCCTTGGCTGCCTAGTGACTGGATGGAGAGGTGATAGGGCTTGGGACCCAGGCCTCCCTCCTGGACGAGGGTGGTTGGAAATTGGGTGGAAGGGGAAGAAAGGCCAGGCTGGGGCCCCGTGGGGGGATCCTCACTCCTGGATGACAGTAGCCGTGTCGGCCCAGGCCTGCAGGGCTTCACGCACGTTGCGGTTGCGACAATGGTAGCCAGCCAGGTACATGTAGGGGTAGATGTGCTCATCCCGGTAGTAGGTCTTGGCTGAGGCAATGCCCTGGGGATAGAGCAGAGGGGCCTCAGGGAGGCAGCTCCCAGCCGCCCCAGGTGGCACAAATGTCCCATTGGATCACACCCAGGAGGGGCAATAGGAAGATTCCAGAGAGTCTCATCTCCCACGTGACCTTACCCCGGGCCATCCTCTCTACCAGGTGCTCCTCCCTGGGTCTGTAGGTCTGGACTGGGCTGGTCTTCCAAGCCCAGCCCAGTGTCCCTCCTACCCCCAGCCCCACCAAGTTAACACCCCCTGCCTCAGTGCTCTCACAGTGTTTGACCTCTACTATACTCCAAGAAGGACAATGATAGGCAGTAGAAAAGGCAGGGCGGAGGGGACAAATCCAGGACCTACCACCCCCAGGCAGGGAACCCAGAACACTCCTCAGACAGCCCTGACCGCCCTGAATACGCACACGGTAAATACAAAACGAGGACTGGATGGGCGGTACCCCCAATACACACAAAGTTCTTCTCGCCTCACCTGCCCCCTCCCAGTCCCAGATAAAAGGGAACCCCAGCCATCGTTGCACCTCCCTTCTGTACCCTCCTGAGATGTCCCCACCTTGTGGTAGAGGGTGAGTGGGTCCGGCCGGCCAGGGGTAGGCTCCAGCTCCTCCAGATCTGCCAGGTTCCCCAGCGCCATAGGGTACCTGGGAAAGGCTCATGAGTCCAGGCTGCCCCCCAGCCCACCCTGAGGCCCAGCCTGGCCACTTCCCTCTACTGACCTTTCCAGATGTCCCAGGTCATAGAGCAACCAGAGCAGCTTCTAGGGGCCAAAGGAGAGAAGTGTGAGCTGGCAGGAGAGAGGGGGGTCCTCAGTCTACCACGCAGATGGGGGTCCAGCACCAGTAGGGACCTCCCACCAGGTGGGAAAAGCCAGAATTCAGAACTAGCCCCTTATTGAAGTCAAAGCGCTTTCACGTCTCAATTCTCCCCTCCCAAGAGCCCCAGGAAAGTCCAGGCCAGGAATGATTCACCCACATTACAGAAGGGGGAGCTGAAGCTCAGGAAAGGAAAGCGCCCTGGCCCAGGGTCCCACAGGCACCCTTCACCTGCTGCAGCTGCAGCAGCTCCAGGGAGTCAGTGTGCAGGTCAATGGAAGGGTTGATGGCGCACACCATAAATGCCACCTCCATCTTGCGGTCACAGCGCATGTATGATCCTTTCAGGTACAGCCAGCTCTTGGGAGAGGACAAGACCAGATGTCTCACGATGGCCTACCTGTGCCTGCTCTAGGGAATGACAGCCAGGAAGGGGGCCCTCCCCTTCCTGACATATGTAGGTGGTGATAGGAAGAGGGCAGAGCTCCTTGGGTGGCTTGGGCTAGGAGAGTATGGGGGGGGGATGCAATACCCGCTCAGCCACACCCGCGTTGACTGTCTGGCCTCTGCGGTCCTCGTTGCCCTTGCCATGCCAGGTGACCTCAGCTGTTTGTTCTCCATTGGGCCCAAACACTACCCAGGCATGGTCCTCAGACAAGGCCAGGTGGACATCCCGGAGACCCAGGGCCTGGCAGGCCCCCACCACGGCAAAGGCCACACCAGAGCTGTCCAGTTTGGTGCCTGTGGAAGGGAAAGTAATGAAAGAGGGTCCTCTGAGCTCTGGCCTGGGGGAAGGGACCAGGTAGTGATGGGCCATGCACCCTCCCACACTCACCTCCAAGCCTGTGCTCAAACCTCAGGCACTCCTGCCCGTCTTCCCTCTACCCCTTTCCTCCTACATGTTCAGAGACTCTCCTTCCCCCTTTACGTTCCCCATCCTCAACAAGAGGCCTTGGATCTTTTGTAGTTCCACCCAGCTTTTGACCCTGTTTCTTCTCTTTCTCTGCAA